GTTGATGGGGGCGGTGAGGCACGTACACACACATACACATACACACACATACACGTGCAAGAGGCGCGCGCGTGTGCATGGGAGGGAGGTAGCGGGTAGGTAGGGAGGGAGGTAGGATTTCGTATAAATAGCGGAGTATAGAAAATAAGATCTCAAGTGGTACCGGACAAAGTCGGAGGCGACCTGGTAGATCTGCTCCACGTTGCCGAAGATGGACTGCATCTCCATCTTGGTGAGGATCTTGGTCGCCGCCGAGTCGTCCTGCTGATTCTTCTTGAGCGGCTCCACGTACACCTGCGCTCCACCACCACCACCACCCACCACCCACCACCCACCACCCAATGCGCACACGCCATACACGGCAACAGCCCGAGTTTTAGCGCCGGGTTGATCGAGTTGTCACGACGCGCGAGGGGGGGGGCTGGCTGGCGCGTACGGAGATGAGGACGCGCAGGTCCTGCAGGTATTCGGTCTCGGTGGTAATGATCTCCTCAATCGCCAAATTCTAGGGACGCGCGTGGGCGGGCGGGCGGGTGGAGAGAAGAAGAAGAAGGAGAAGGAGATCAGAGACAGAGCCAGACAGAGGCAGGGCAGACCCCACTCCCTCGATGGTAGGAAAGGCCCCGGCTGGTGGTGGCTGATGTGGCTGGTGGTGGTCGTGGTGGCTGGTGGTGGGTGGCTGGTGGGTGGCTGATGTGGCTGGTGGTGGTGGTGGTTGGTGGTGGGGTGGGGCTGGTGCGCACCATGCGGTAGCGAGTCTTTTGCTCGGGGGTCATGTCCTTCATGTCCAGCGCCGATGCTCGCGCTGCAGCCACGCACACACCCGCACACGATATTAATAACCCTTGGGGGGGGGGAATAATAGGGAGAAGGCGGCGCAGGTACCTTTGAGGAGATTGAAGATGTCCTTGGCGGGGAGGCCCAGGCCGGCGGCCACCTGCAGCGCGGTCTTGTTGCCGCGGTCGTCGGGCTGGCGCGGGTCCATCCCGAGCTCCAGCAGCTTGTCCACCAGTTCCTGTTGACGCGGGGTTGACGACCGGGCACACGGTAGTGAGCAGCAGCAGCACAACCACCACACCAACGCGATGGAGGGGGGGGACGAGCGGGCGTGTGCTTCGCGTGAGTGCAGCGGGGGGAGGGTAGCCCCTTTACCTTCTTGTAGCTGCGTATGGCGTAGTTGAGCACCGTCTCGCCGTAGCTATGGTGGACGACAACGACGACGACAACGAAGTGGCGCAAATGATGATGATGTGATGATGATGATGGACGAAGATGGAGAAGATGATGCCGGCGATAAGGGACGACGAAGGGCGATGGTAAGTGAAGGAGCCGCCCAACCAAACCACGCGTCGACATGGGGCAGGCGAGGTGGGGAGGGGGAGCACGCACATGTTGCGGATCTGGAGGTTGGCCGTCTTGTGCGCCAGGAGGAACATGGCGACCTCGTTGCACGCGTACATCACCGCGTTGTGGAGAGCCGTTTCACCGTGACTGCGCCCACACGCGGCACATGACACACGCCGGTGAGCCACGCGCCCACGCATGCACGTGTGTGATGGGGGGGAGGGAGGGATGCGGAGGAGGGGTCGGGATGGGGGGAAGAGGCTCTTAAGAGGTGCCGCACCGGTTGGTGTGGCTGAGGTCGGCGCCCTTGGCCAGGAGCAGGTGGAGCGCTTTGGAGAAGGACGGGAGCTGCTCGGGGCTGAAATTCTAGGTGCACACACACACACACACACACATTGCATACGTGCGCGCGGCGAGCACGAGTCAGACGGGTACGGTACGGCAACCATCATGGTGGTGGTGGTGGTGGTGGTGGTGGCTGGTGGTGCGAGGTGCCACACTGGCGCGCGCACTCACAATGACGCAGCTCGACCTCCGCGTGGTTGGGTGGGTTGGGTGGGTGGCGTACCTGGCGGGCGAAGTAGTGGATGGGACGCGTTTCGTCTGAGTTGGCCAGCGACGCCTCCGCTCCATTATTCACTGTACCCCCAACGCACGCACGCACGCACAAATGCATGCTGGTGAGGCCAATGGCCCGCACGCATGCTGCACCATATGCCGCCGCCGCCGCCGCCGCCGCCGCCGCCGCTGCTGATGGCGGGTGGGTGGGTGGGTGGGTGGGTGGTGGCGACGTACGGAGGAGGCGCACGAGATCGCCGTTGCCGTGGGCGTTCTTGCAGGCGGCATGAAGGGGCGACCATCCATTGCTGTCGACGGCGTTCACGTCGGCGCTGTTGGCGAGGAGGAACCGGACGATGTCCATCTTGACCGGATGCTCCAGGCAGGCCACGTGCAGCGGCGTCTGGCCCTCCTCGTCCTTGAGGTTGATGAGCCCCACGTTCTCCGCCACCTTGACCTGTTGGTTGGTTGGTTGTGGTTGGTTGTGGCTGCACGTCATGCATGCGTGGAGGTGCGTCGTCGTCGTCGTCGTCGCCGCTTGAATGGCAAGTCCCCGGTGTGTGTTGGGGGGGGGGCACGCACGCGCAGTTGGCTGAGGCTGCCGTCCTTGACGATGGCGTGCACGGACCGGTTGGCGGTCCGCTCCTTGAGCTCGGCCAGCTCCTGCGGGCTCAGGTCGAACAGGGCGCTCCCCGCTTCGTCGTCGCTGTCGCCCTCCGCGCCGCCCTTGTTCGCGTCCCTCACGGTCTGCTTAGCACACGTGCGCGCATACCACAGACCACGCCACGCGCGGTCGCCACGACATGGCAACGACAAGCAGCGGCCCCGCGGGCAGCCGGCACGACGGAGCGACGGTAAGAGGCCAGGCCAAGCCAGGCGAGGAAGGAGGGAGGGCGGGAGGGCGGGCGTACGCGTCGCTTGGACTTGGTCTTGTCGTCGACGCGGCCCAGGAGGTTGCTCAGGAGGCCCGACGCGGCGGGCTGGAGCTGGCCGGGCCGCGAGAGAGCCCACACGTTCTCCTCGAGGCTGGCCAGCCGCTTCTCCACGCTCTCCAGCCGCTGCTCCGGCGACTGGGGGGGCTGCGGCTCCTTTTGCTGCTGCTGCTGGGCGTGCTCCTGCTGCTCGGCGCCGCCTCGCCGCAGGGACCCGATCGGGGTGGCGCGCCGCAGGGTCGAGTGCGGCGAGGTCGACGTCGACGGAGGAGAGGGCTGCACGGGGACCAGCAGCGACGACGATGACGACCACGGTGACGACGGCATCGACGTTGGCGTGCTCGACCCGCCCTGCTCGCTCTGCTGGTGCCCCTCCACCTGCTGCTCCTTAGGGGAGGGGGCCGGAGAGGAAGTAGTAGTGGTGGTGCCCGTGGCGGCGACGACGGTGGAAGAAGAATCGTCGGTGGGCATCACCACCACGGGCACCACCACTGTCGAGCACGTGCCCGGTGACGATGACGACGACGACGAAGGAGGAGGAGGAGAAGAAGCGGAAGTGGCGGTGGAAGTGGCGGGGGCGCATTCGGCAGCGGCAGCGGCAGCAGTAGCAGCTAGCTGAGGGAGCACGCTGTGTAGGCGGGCTTCGAGGGCGAGGCGCAAGCGGCGCTCTTCGCGCAGCTCGGCCCATAGGAGGGCCACCTCCTCGCGCAGTGCTGCTGCTGCTGCTCTGTCGTCGTGGCCCTTTTTCCCGCCATCCTCGCCTGTCGCCCTCCCTTCTGTACTTGCTGCTGCTGCATTTTGTCCCCCCCCCCAAACAACGTTACAAGTTAGTAGTGCCCTGCCAACCACCCCCAATTCCTAATTTGTACACTATTATTATTTCTCGCCCGTAAGTCACCATATAAAACACAACAATAATAATAATAATAAATATAAATTAATTTGCTCTTCTCTCCACGCACCACCCCCAAACATGTTTGTACTTCACGTGAAGTGAGGGCATCATATGCCCCGCGAAATGAGAGTGGGTTGGGGCACCTGTGGGGGGTAGGCGCCGCGCTGTCGAAGAAGTCGCCAACATGGAGAGTTCTTGCCTGGGGGCGCAGCAGACACGAACAAGGTGGGTGCCGCCGGGTGGTGATGAATTTGTTAGTTTTGGCTACTACCAGTGCTCCACCAATCACCGTCATCTTGGTGACATATTTGGAATTCTTTCGCCAGCTGCACCAGGCGACGTAGAAGGGCGGGAGAACAAAAGCAAAGGGGCTGGGGGACAGCGAGCAATCAATAATTCAACCAATATATGGAAGCCCCCCTGCAGCACCAGCACCCAGTCGAGGAGGAGGCAGAGCACCCCCTGGCCAGCGGCGGGTGGGCTCCCTTCGTAGTGCGCCAGCAACAGCAGCAGGCTGCCGGCACGACAGCAGCGCAAGGAATGCGCCTCGCCGACCACTCCATTGTGGCGCAGGCACGCCCGCCCCACACGCCCCTCCTCCCTCTTTTCCTCACGATGCGCCAAATAAGGCGGCAGGCACACCCCGCAAGGGCATAGCCCTCGTTGCGCGTCGAACCTATATTGTACAACAGAACGGCCGTGTTGCTCACACTGTCGCGTTGTTTGTCGTGGGTGCGTGATCTATACTTGTATTCTCTATGTGTGGTGTGTGTGTGGTGTGTTGGTGTGGAGCGCAGGTAGGGCGCTGCTGGCTCTTTGGCGGCTACGACGGGATCGCACGCGCCGCTACCGCCTCCCTGTGGCGATGGGACCTGGGCGCCGGCGGCGAGGCAGGTGCCACACACGCACAAGAGGAGAGCCTGCCGCCACTCCTCCCCGCCGGAGCTTTGCGTGCCACCGGCGGCGTGGCGCCCGCCCCTCGCAGCTCGCACGCAGCCGCCGCCACGGCCACCAAAATGTACTCTTTTAACTGCCCCTCTCCACCCGCCCGCCCAGCCCGGAGATGGCCGCACCAATGTCTGACATGTATGTGTTGTTGCTGCTGCTGCTGCTGTTGCTGTTGCTGTCAGGTTTATCCACGGAGGTCAGGGTGAGGAGGGCTTCGACGACCTCTACAGCTACAGCTTTGGTACGTCCCCTCCTTATCGTACTCGCCACTACCTACTACCTACTACTACCGACCACCTACTGCACGTTCGGGGCTTGTCACTAGTGACGCCGCACGCGGGATGCGGGAATGGGTCTTAAGCAGGATTGACAAGCATGTCGTTGTGTGTATCGTGTGCGTGTGTCGTGTGTGTCGTGTGTGTCGTGTGCGCAGACATGGGTGTGTGGTCGCGTCTGCCGAGCAAGGGGGCGGTGCCAAGCGCCAGGAGCGGGCACACGCTGGTGTGGCACGGCCTGGCACGCGACGACCTTCACGAGGAGGAAGGCAAATTGGCCGAATCGAGAGGAGGCGCGGGTCACCTCTACCTGTTCGGCGGGTGCGACGCCGCCTCGGGCTCCCACAGCGCGCAGCCGTTCTACCGCTACGCCCTCGGTACATGCAACCGACCACAAGCCTGCTCACGGTGTCCGCGGGCTGGATAAGCTCGGTCTGACACATGTCTCCTGTGTGTCGTGTGTCGCGCGTGGGCCAGATCGCGGGGAGTGGGAGGTGGAGCAGGGCTCGGGAGTGGTACCCAACCGGTATGGCCACACGGCGGTAGTGCACGACGGGGCCATGTGGGTCTTTGGAGGCGTCGACGAGGACAACACCTACGCCAACTCCGTCTACGTCTACCACTTTGGTACGGGCACCTGCTCACTTCGGCGCTCGCCAGTCGGGTCGTGGAACTGCTGACGCTGATCGCGATTGGGGTGGGGTGAGGGCAGGTACGCGGAGCTGGCGGCGTCTTCCCTGCTTCGGGTCGCTTCCGGCGCCCCGCACCCGGCACGCCGCCACCCTCTACGAGGCCCGACTCATGCTCGTCTTCGGTGCCTGCTCCCCTTTGCCACCCCATCCCCCATCCCCCATCTGCTAATCATCTGCGTTCACCTCGTACGGTGCGGCTTACCACTGCATCTATACATTTATCCATCTATCTATATATCTATCTATCTATATATAAATATATTACAACGCAGGCGGGTGCGACCGGGGCGGGCGCTGCTTGGACGACCTGTGGGTCCTCGACCTCGACTCCCACGTCTGGACATGCCTCGGGCCAGCCTCCTCCTCCTCCTCCGCCGACGTGGCTGCTGCCTCCACGTCCGCCGCGAAGGGGTCGACCACCGCCGCCCTAAAGGGGAAAGAAAAGCTGGCGGACAACGAAGACGAAGACGATCACGCGGCCGAGGGAGGATTCGGCACGGGCCGCGGGAGGAACGACGGCGGAGGTTGCGTGGCCCCGCCGCAATGGGACCAGTGGCCATCGGGCCGGAGGGATCACAAGATGGTGGCTGGGGCGATCGCCTTCTGGTCATCGGGGGCAAGGGCGTGGGCAGCTCCTACCCCGCACACTTTGCCTTCCAGTGCGTGCTCGGTGCGTGCCTGGCTCCCGCTCTCCACGCGCTGCCCGCGCCACCTTCGCCAGACAGTGTCCTCACCGATCTATACCTTGATATCTCTCTCTCTCTCTATATATATATATTATATTTCTGTCGGCTGCGTGTGGTTGATGGGCTGCACTCGTGGGGGCAGGCAAGGCGCTGCTGGCTCGCCGCGGGCCGCGCTTCTCCGAGGGCAGCATCGCCTCCCACGGCAAGGTCTACACCTTCGGATTCGGGAAGCACGGCCAGGTGCGCCCATCCATTCCCTACGCGGACCCATCCAATCCGTCCATCCGCCTCTCTCGGCGAGAGGGCCACGCCCGCGCGGGTGCTGGAGGTGGTTGTGCCTGTCCCCCCCTCACAATTTCCCATATGGCACGCACGTGCAGCTGGGCCTCGGCACGCTCTGCCAATCGGCGGAGCCCACCATCGTGCCGACCCTCGTCTCCGCCCAGGTCGTGCAGGTGGCGTGCGCGGGCGCCAAGACCTACGCCCTCACTGCTCGTACGTTACTCCCCAGCTCCTTCTCTCTCTCTCTCTCTCTCTCTTGGCACGGTCGCGAGCGGACACATACGCAGATAGCGATTGAATTCCAATCACTGGTGGCGGCGATGCGGCGGTCGTGTGTATCGTGTGTGTGTGTCGTGTGTGATCGCGTGTGACGGAGGGTTCAGAGGGTCTGGCGTACGAGTGGGGCGGGGAGGGAGAGCGAGCGACGTGGCGCTTCTTCGGCGAGGGGAAGCTGATTCCGCGCCTCGTGCGAGGTCTCGCCCACCGACAAACCGCCGCACTCGCGCCGGCCTGCCTCCACACCGCCGCCCTCACCCACGGCGGTACGCCCCGCGCCCCCCTTTCTCATCCTGACACACAGCTCCTCCTGACATGCGCGGACGTGGGTGGGCGTGCGGCATGGTTTGCAATGTGGTCTTGTGGTGACCTGCAGGCAAGCGAGGCACGGAGGAGGTCTACCTGTGGGGCGAGGAATCGGCGCCCACCCAGAAGGGAGCCACCGCGCCCCATCCGTTCCTGCCTCTCCGCGGCCTCCACGTGGTTCAGCTGGCCTCCACCGCCCTCTCCACCGTGGCTCTCACCGGTAGGATCGCCCACCACCGCCATCACATCGCCCATCCGAGCTGACCACCTCACCTCCATTCTTTCAACAAAACACCCGCAGAGGAGCAGCTGGTCTACGAGTGGACGCTCGGGCGTGACACCCAGATGCGGCTCGTGGAGTGCCCCTCCACCGAGAGTCCCCTCTCCGTGACCCAGGTGGCGTGCGGCGGCTCCCACGTGCTCCTCCTCACCGGTACCCCTCCTCCTCCTCCTCCTCCTCCACCATCGCAGCAACCGCCTCTCTCTCTCTCTCTCTCTCTCCCCCCCCACTCCCAGCTTCCTTTGGGCTTCACTCACGCCGTTCGGGCCCTCAGATCGGGGCCACGTGTTTGCGTACGGCGAAAATAGGCACGGCCAGGTGCGTGCCCCCAACTGGACAACGCACACCCATTGGGTGGGCCACGACGATGACGCTTGGTGGTGCGCGGTGCTTGCTCACGGCGTGCACACCGGTCTCTGCATGGTGGTGGCTGGTGGGGCGGGTGGTGTGGTCTCAGTGCGGCACGGGCAACACGGAGCAGGTGAAGGCGCCCACCTTGGTGCCGGGGCTCTCCCACGTGCGGAGGGTGGCGTGCGGGGACAACCACTCGCTCTGCGTGACCAGTGACGGCGCCCTCTACTCCTTCGGCCAGGTTACCCCTCCCATCTGCGCGCGCGCTCTCTCTCCCTCCCTTGGCCACGATCCATGTGCAACTCACCTCGAGGGCGCTTCCGACACACTCAGGGCAAGCACGGCCAGCTGGGCCACGGCACGCGCCTGGACTGCTGTACGCCCACCCGCGTCGAGGCCCTGCTCGACGTACCCGTGGTGCAGGTGCGGTCTCTCATTTTCTCTGCCCCGCGTGATCTGCCCCCCTTGCTCGTCCGGTCCGCCCTCCTCACCTCCTCCGCACCTCATGATGTGTTCACCGCGAGGACCAGGTGGCGGGCGGCGGCGGCCTCGGCGTCTCCCATTCTGTCGCAATCACTGCGCAGGGCGACTGCTACACGTGGGGCGGTGCGTGGAATTGCTCGAATTCTGTGCTGTGCTGTGCTCTGCTCTGCTCTCGGGTTCCCTGACGTGTGCGGTGGTCACGCGTGCGCCGGGGCTATGTACCACTTGGGTCCCCGCAGGAGGCAAGTACGGTCAGCTGGGACACTCGCACACCACGCAGGACGAGCTGGAGCCCCGCCTCGTGGCCTCCCTGCGCGGCAAGCGTGTGGTGGGAGCGGCCTGTGGGTGGCTGCACACCGCCCTGCTCATCGGTGCGGCCGCGTGACGCGTTCGCGCCCACCGCCCACCGCCCACCGCCACCGCCCGAGATTTTCGATGGCAGCTGCCCCGTAGTTGGCGGGCTAACAGGTTTTTTTTTTTTTTGATGCAGACGAGCCTATCTCTGCCCACCAGGCGACCGAGGCCAGGCAGGCGCACGAGGCGTCGGCCATGGGCAGGTTTGAGGTGTGTCCCAACGAGCTCCTCTACTCGGTGCTCTCCCTCCTGGACGTGCGCAGCCTCGCTCAGCTCGCCCAGACCAACTCGACCTTCAAGCTCATCGCCGAAGGTACGTGCGTCCGTCCGTCAGCGCGCGCGGGCCTCGAACACCGTGCTTCTGCTCGAGCACGCACAACTGCACTGTGCTGACACGGACTCGGTCCGGGACCACACAGACGACGAACTGTGGCGGGCGCTGTTCGCGGCACAGAGGCGCACGCAGACGCCCTGGATGAGTCCCGCGCAGGTGGCCACCGAGGCCCACGACATTGCCGAGCGCCGAGAGCCGTGGAAGGCCGCCTTCAAGACCGCCTTTGGAAGGATCTCTGGGTCCGCACTCGCCGACGCACACAATCCTTGGCCTTGCGGCTTCTCCTCTGATCGGTGGTGAGTGCGCGCAGGGGCGAGAGCGCTGGGAGTAGCGCGAGCAAGGGAGGCCGACTGGCCTCCCTGTTCGGACGCTCGTTCGTGGGGCGCCTCTTCACGGGCCGTCGCGAGGCCCGCATCCTCATGGTGGGGCTCGACGCTGCTGGTACGTCCGCGCCCATCCACAGCGTTCTTCCCCTCGTCATCTCACCCGTGCGCCATTATTGGGGGGGACAGGCAAGACGACCATCCTGTACAAGCTGAAGCTGGGCGAGGTCGTCACCACCATCCCCACCATTGGTATGCATTCGCATCCCAGCGCCCCTCACCGCCCCCCCCCCCAAGACGCTCACCGTGGCGCCCCTCCCGGCAGGCTTCAACGTGGAAACGCTGGAGCACCGCAACCACAACCTCACGTTCTGGTACGCGGGCCTTCGCTCCCCCCCACCTCCCACCCACTCCGAACAACGCTGTTACCGACGCGCCACTCTCCTCCAATGTCCTTCCTGCATGCCGGCAGGGATGTCGGAGGACCAGACAAGGCACCCCCACACCCGATCCTCTGCTGGTCACCCCTGCCCGAGATCGCTGTCTCATTTTTTTATTATTATTACCATTTTTCTTCGCCGTCATCGTCATCCAGATCCGGCCGTTGTGGCGGCACTACTACCAGAACACGCAGGCCGTGGTCATGGTGGTGGACTCCAACGACAGGTGCGTGCGGAGCCTACGCCCCTCCCCCGGAGACCCTTTTTGTTCTACCCCTCACCGGTGTGACGTTGGTTCCAACAAAGGGAGCGCATCGGGGAGGCAGCGGCCGATCTCCACCGCATGCTGGCCGACGACGAATTGAGGGACTGCGTGTGCCTCATCTTCGCCAACAAGCAGGACTTGCCCTGTGTAACGCTACCCTCTCCCTGCCACACCAACCAACCCCCAACCCACATTCACACATCCCTGACTGCCGCTGTTCTTGTGGGGTATACCCCCTTCCCCCGAAAACCAACCCATTGGCACTCGCACAGGCCATGACCCCGGCCAAGGTGGCCGAGGGCCTGGAGCTGGGCAGGCTGCGCAACATGCCGTACCACCTGCAGCCGTGCTGCGGTCCCACCGGTACGCACACACGCTCCACTACTGTCCCTTTGGATGACTCCCCCCCCCACGCACACGTCCCACTCGACACCACCCTGGTCTCTTGTTAAAAACTGACTGATTGGCGGTGATGGTGCCCGGCGTCAGGCGACGGGCTCTACGAGGGCCTCGACTGGCTACTGACCGCCCTCGAACGCAAGCGAGGCTAGGGTTAGACTTACGTAAGGAAGGGTCGTTCGGAGTGGGTGTATGGGCTTGGGCCGGCCAATCACCACACGGCAATTAAACACATAATAAATAATTAATAGTCAACAGAATTATTTTAGTTTCTTTATTTATATTGCTTTGTACACCAACCTCCGTTACCGCGAGGCCCGAGGAGGAGGTAAACTTTGGCTTAAACTCCTCCTTACCGCTCCTTCCGGCAAGTAGCACTGTCGTCGTCATGGCGTCGCCCCCGTGGTCTGCTGACGAATGTCGAATGCTCGTCAAGGTACTCCCCCCCCCGCTTTTCCCAACCTGTAGGGGACCTGCACCGGACACACAAAAGGAAAAGAGAGTGAAAAGATCGGCCCCTCCTCCCGCTCCCCACCAACACTTGGGGGCATTTCCGCTGGCGTGTACGCCGTTTTCTTGGGCACGTGTACATAACGTACGTGTGTCGTGTTTTTGTCTAAAATAGTATTGGGGGCGGTGGTGCAACTACCACGTGGCCAAGCGCGGCAAGAAGCTGCCCGACCTCCTCCCCGGTAACCCCCCACCCTCTCTTCGATCGAAGCGAACTCAAGCGTGCTCTCCACGGCATCAATGTTCCTCACACGACGTGCCAATGTGGCGCGCGGCGCGGGAATGTCACCAGGGGTGGCGGGCGGGTCGGGCCTGGCGTGGCTCCTGGCCGGCCTTGCCCCCGACGTCGCCGACAAACTCCCACCGCTGCCTCACGACAAGCCACGCTCGCGCTCCCACAAGGTACCGCACTCCCCGCTAGTGCTCCTCGCTGGCGAACGCCTCCACGCAACATGTCAGGGATCTCTCACACGCACGGCATACGCACGCACACACACGATGCGTGCCTCGCCGCAGGTGTCGAACCACGTGGTGCTGCAGCGGTTCATGCGGCACACGCTCGCCATTCCCCTCTCCGACGACTGCTCGGCCGGTACGTGTGTCACATATCATCTACAGCGGCGGCGGCGGCGGCACTTGGCAGGTGGTGATGACGTGGATTGCTCACGTAAGGCGGACGGACGCGCGTGGGGTGCGCACACCTGGGGCGGTTGATCAGAGCGGCTAGGGGACGGAGACGCGGCGGCAGTGCTGGGGCTGCTGTGGGCTCTCGCACTCCACTTCCAGTTCCGCGCGCTGCTCCCGGCCCCGACGTCGCCCCGGGGCCGCGGCGCCGGCGGGAGTGACGGGCAGGGAGCGGCAGTGGCGGCAGTGCGGCGCGCGCTGCAGGACAAGCTCGCCCGATTCCTCGCCCGAGACGAGACCAGTGCAGCGAGAGAGGGCGGGCGCACTTCCGTGGCCTTGTCATCAGCGCCCGTGGCCGCGGCGGCTGCGGCGATCAGCAACTTCCAGCAGGACTTTAGCGATGGCACCCTCTTCTCTGCACTCATCCACCGGTACGCACCGCGGCCCTACCCTCCTCCTCCTCCTCCTCCTCCTTTTCGTCGTCGATCAATCGCGTGCAATGATGAACTTGGGCCTCGGCCTCGGCCTATTGTTGATTGGTGGCCTACGCAGGCAATGTCCGGAGGTGCTGGAGGTCGAGGGGCTGGATGCCAAGGACAAGCGGGGCAATCTGAAGCGCGCCCTCCGCCTGCTTCGCCGCAAGTGGGGCGTGCCCAAGCTCGTCGGTACTCCTCCTCTCCCTCTCTGTGCCTCTTCATTGAAGGGGCAACAACCCACACCAACCATCCAATGCTGACGCACCAAGGGGGAACCGAGCGCAGATGTGGAATCGCTGCAGCTGCAGGCGGGCGTGCGCTCCGAAGAGGTGGAGAAGTGCGTGATGGTGTACCTGGCCCTCGTCTTCGCCCGCTTCGACGACCAGCCCTCGCCCCTGCTCCGCCGCAAGTCCAAGGGCAGCTTCCTCTTCGGCTCTAAGTCCCTGCCCATCACCGCCACCACCGCCACCACCGCCACCAGCAGCACCAGCAGCTCGGCGCCCTTTCCCGCCACCACGTCGTCTTCCTCCACACCGAGCGCGAGCACCGAGCACAAGCCGGTCGTGCAGGCGCAGACCCAGTCGCGCTCGTGCTCATTCCCGGCGGTTGCCTACGTCCTGCCAGCTGCGCCTCGGCCGCCCGTCTCGGCCTCGTCTCCCTCCCTGCTGTCGGGAGGGACCCGGGACGATCTTGACGACGACGACGACGACGACGACGACGTGAGCAGTAGCAGCAGCAGCAGCAACGCGCCGCCGCCACACCAGCCCCACGGAGATGACGTCGAAGACCAGCTTCGGCAGAAGCAGGCGGCGGGATACAAGGGACTGCGCCACTCGGAGCTGTTCATCGACCAGGCCACGCGCCTGCAGCTCCAGGCCACCCTCGACTCCTTCTCGCGCGCACCGCAACCGCCGGAGCACACCGCCACCAGCAGCACCAGTGGAAGCAACAGCAGCAGCAGCAGCAGCAGCAGCAGCAGCAGCAGCAAGGGCCGGGCCGGCCACTCACCGCACAAGAAGCGGGCGGAACCGGCCCTGCAGAGTCGTGGGAGCGTCATCAAGTCCGTCCACAAGAAGCCCGAGAAGGAGAGCCTCCAGCTTCTCCTGGTACGTACCAGCCACCACCAGCAGCCACCGCCCCAAGACCTCTCGGAGAGCACCACGGGCTGACTGTGCGCTCACACGCCCGGGCTGTGTGCCGCGTGTGTCCCGTGTGTACATGGCAGGAGTGCGCAATGCTGGGGCAGGACCTTGACCTCAGCAACCAGACGTTCGACAACTTTGACTCGCTCATCCGCTTCCTCGCCGCCAAGGAGGCCGGCGGCGGCGGCGGCGGCAAGCCAGGCAACAACAACAGCAAGAGCCCCGCCTCCAGGGACGGCGCGCGCCCACGGGCGATATCGGACTTGGACGGCGAGGGAGCCGATGTGGTGAGCCACACTGAAGTTACCGACCTCTCCGACCTCCATTCCGAGTCCGACGACGACGACGACGACGACGATGTCTTTGACGACGACGACCTCTCTGGTACCTCTCCCTCCCACGCCTTGGTCGTCGCGTTCGCGCTGCGTTCACCACCCATTCATCCGTCCATCCGTCTCATCATCGCACAGAGCTGGCCTCCCTGGCCCTGGATTGCGCGTGGGACTCCCCGCGCTACAAGAAGTACCTCGACCCGGGTACGTACCAGCCCCACGATGACCCACCGCCCAACCCGACCTCCTCCTCCCCCCCCCGTGTAGGTTCCTCAGTGGGCCGGCCGCTCTTTGTCCCCCCTCCTCCCAAGGATCTCATCGGCTGGCTGCCCTCGCAGATTTCGAGCCGGGGGACGACACCACCGACGACGGAGACTTGGAGTCGACAGACACCGACTTTGATGCCACCCTTGCCAGCCTCTCCGAACCCTCCACACCCCGATCGTGCGCTGCTCCCTCTTCGTTCTTTGTTCGTTCTTCGTTCTTCGTTCTTCCTTCTTTCGGACATTCTCAATTCTGGTGCTGATCTGCTCTGAGCACAGGAGCCACGACAAGAAGGACAGCGGGCTGATGGACCTGGTGGCTGACCTACGGAGCCTGGGCCTCGCCGCCCCGCCTGAAGCTGTTGCGGGCGATGGGGCTGGCGTCCCCGCGACGATCCCTTCCCATCACCCGTTGGACCTGAGCGCCCTGCTGCTCCCGCGAGACATCGCGCAGCCGGATCCCAGGGCGCCCTCCCCGCGCGATGCGTCGGTGGGGCCGTCCCCCGCTGGCGCTATCGCCGGCCCGCTCGCGGAGCTTCACCACCACCACCACCACCAGCAGCAGCAGCGGGATGTGCCGCTGCACCAGAGCTTGCCGGCGCCTATCGCCACGCGACCGCCGGCGGCACCCACGACGTCTCCGGAGCCCGTGTTGGGCAGGCTGAGCCAGAGCCAGAGCCTTGTCGGCATCGGCGGCGGTGGCGCCGTCGGGCAATCCCCCGTAGGCGCTCCTCTGTTCTCGGACGTGCGTCGGCTGTGGCAGGAGCGGGCGACGGTCACGGCATCGTCGCGCAAGGGGCGCACCTGGGACAACCTCCAGCGGGCCATGGAGGAGGAGATGATCAAAAAGGCCAAGGCCGACGAGCGACGCCGCCAGCAGCTTGACACACACCCAGCCCCCTCTGCTGCTGCTTCTCGAGGCCCTGCACAACCGCAGCAACTCGCCTCCGCGGCAGCGCAAACATCGCCGATACCTGCCGACTCCGCCGCCGCAGCTGGGAGCAGCCTCCACCGCCCACACAGCGCCGAAGAGTCCGCCGCTACCACTTCGGCCCTGCCGCCTGCGTCCGCGCCGGCGAGCGGCGATGCGGTGGGCGCCGTGAGCCAAGGTACTCGTACCCCGGCCTGTACTCGTACCGCTGCCTGTCCCGCATCCATGCGGGGACTCGCACTCTCTCTCCCTCCCAAATGTTGATTATGTTGTTGTTTGTGATGATGATGATGATGATGGCAGAGTTGGGTCGTCTGGAGGAGCTGATGGGTGCGTGGGAGAGGGCCAAGGAGGCGCCCTACCTGCACGGCGTGGTGCTCACCACCAAGTCCCTCGTCAGCCGCGTCAAACTCCTCGCACGTGCGTACTTGCCTCGCATGTGCCTGCGATCGCGACGTTCTTGGCTTCCTCCGTGAGCTCACCGCCGCCCACCACACAGTCGCGACGGGGAAGCAGACGGGCGACGAGGCGGCCCTGCGGAGCCAGGAGCTGGTGGGGCGGATGCTGGAGCTGGCCAGCCTCTTCCGCCAGAACACGACGGCCAGCGACGCCGTGCTGGAGGCCAAGAGCCGCGAGTTCGTGCTCGCCGCTGCCCACCTCGCCCACGTGGTGCTCCCCGCCGCCGCCCCTCTCGTGGTGGGGGACGACGAGCAGGTGGCGTCGGCGGCGCCGGCGGCGAAGGAACCCGCGGGGGCGCCGCAACAGAGCAGGCGCGCGCCGGACGATTCGGCTTCTATTGGCAACAGCAGCAGCAGCAGCAGCAGCTCCTCCGGCAAAACCGAAGGACGATCTCCTCCGATCCCTTCGCTGCGGCTGGCAGTCCTCGCGCCCGCGGCAGCACCACCACAGGCGACCCACGGAGAGCCGGCCCACCACCCGAACGTCGGCGCCGCCGCTACCGCCAGTGGTGTCGTGCACCACCAGCGGGACACTCTGGCGAACGGCCAACAACGTCGCCAGGCCACTGCTGCCACCAATGGCGTACATGGCGCCACTCTTCGATCCGCAATGATCTGCCCACCAGTGAGCGACTGACACCATTTGGGGACAGGGAGGCGGCGACGATGATGACGATGACAGGTTCAGGGCCTGGCGACGCGACATCGGCAGATGCACCTTCCTCGACGCCTCGTCGCTCCGGAACTTTGCCGAGCTTCTCCGGTACCACACACGGCTTCCGCCCGCACCGCGGCCACCCGCGCCACCCGCGACTCACCCCTTGGTGTGCCCTTTATTCGGGTCGGGGACCACCGCCAGGACGGTCATTTCGCACGCGCAGGAGGTGGCTGATCGGCCTGAGGCGCTCCAGCGGCGGGCGCAGATCGTGCAGGACTGCCAGCACCTGGCCACCGCCGGGGCCGAGTGGATCCGCTGCGGCGCCTGCACCACGGCCAGCGCGCGCACCGGCGGTACCTCCTCCTTGCAGACTCCGCCCAAGACCCCGCGCACCGAGAGTCGGATCAAGAATCGGTACCCCACCACTCTCCCCCACTTGGCGAGGGGCCAGGCGACCAGGGCTCACGCACTGACCTGGTCGTGTGTGTCGTGTGTGTGCCCTGTCGCGTCGGCAGGTTGCTGGCCGCCTTCGACCGACTCGACAAGTCAGTGCACGCTTCGACATCGACATCGACATCGACATCGACATCGACATCGACATCGACATCGACATCGACATCGACATCGACATCGAGCAGCGGCAGCGGCCCCATGACGCCGACGGGGAAGCTCTCTCCGACGACCCGGACGGGTGAGCCGTCGCCTCGTCTGGCACCGCGCGCCCTCAGCTGGTCGGCCGACGAGCTGGCGGGCGTGTCGGGTGGCGGGGAGGAGGTGGGCCTCGAGGAGCACGTCAACCTGGTTGTGCGGGGGCTCACCCGGGCGGTGGGCCTGTGCACCGACGAGACGGGCAGCGACGCGCCGAGCGGCTTCCACGCGGCCGACGTGCGGCAGCTGCTCCGGACCATCACGCGCGCGCTGCAGGTCACCGCCGCCAAGCTGCCTCTGGAGTACCGTAAGGCCGTCCTCGACGCCGCCGAGAAGTATCTCCAGTGCGCCATCCCGCTCGTGTCGGCCATCGAGCAGTGCGACGCCGAGTACGCGCCTCCCCTCCCTCCCGGAGGTTGTTGATTGGTTTTGACCACAACAAAAACAGAACGGAGGCGGCCAAACGGAAGGAGCTCTCGCAGGCCACCCACATCGCACGGATCCGCTGGATGACAGCATTCAGGGTTCTCGTGACCACGCTCAAGGACGCCGTCTCCGCACAGAAGCCTTCTTCGGCGGGGTAATACCCCACGGTAACCCCCCCCCATCAGTTGGATTAAACAAAGCCTGTGTGTTCAAGTGTTGTTGTTATTGTTGCACCACTGCTGTTTCTTTGCTGTTCATGCATCGGACCGCGGGAGGAGCGCCTGCATGATGCTGATCTGGTCGCCGTGGTAGACTGCGCTCTCCTTGCGCACCCAGCCGTACTTTTCGTACATGGCGGCCGTCTGGTCCTTGGTCCACAGCCACACCTCGGGCAGGCCCACCTCGCGCGCCTTGGCCAGAATCTGCGTCAGCAGCGCGCCCGCCAATCCTGTTCCACACACACGCAGCACACGACACACACACGACACACACCACAGCGCAAGCAAAGTGAGCTTTGTTTGTCCGGCACAGGGACGCAAGGCAGGCCGACGGACGCACCTCGGCCTCGGTGGTGCTCCTCGACGAAGACGCACACGAGCCACGAGTTGATGTGCTTGTGCGTGGGCAGGTCCTCCGTGTCCAGGGTCACTAACACGGCACACACCAGGAGGAGGAGGAGGAGGAGGAGGAAAGAGATGTTGGTCAGACGACCACGCTACCCACATGTCGGTGCTCGCTGGGACGGGCTGGGCTCGCACCGGTGGCGCACGGGATGTCGGCCCCATCCGGTCCGGGCACAAAGGCGACGAGGGTGAGGGGTATCTTGTCGCGGTTCATGCAGCGGGCGTGCATGTCGGCCCCCACCTCCTGCTCGCTGTGCAGGCCCAAGTCCTGCCCGGTAGAGACGAGAGAGAGAGGATACTCCGCAGGTGAGCTTCTCCGGAGTTGGCAAGACCAGCGGAGGGGGGGAAGGGGGCAAACCCGGTAGACCACGGCCCATTCTTGCCAGAACCAGCGGGCAAGGGTCGGCACGAAGTCCGGACGGTCAGCCAGCAGGCAATAGGAGGCGTAGCAAGGCTTTTGGGCCTCTTCTTGCTCCATTACTATTCTTCCGTCACCCGCCACTGTGTGCAGAAAGGAAAGGTTTGTTTATTCGTTTATTTTCTTTACTTGCTGGGGGATTCGCTTGGGGGAGGGGCGAAAGCGGCGGCGGTGGTGGGGCGTCGTGGCCACCAGCGGGCGCGTAGGTTGCGCCAGAGGAGGAGGGCCAGGGGCCAGACGAGCACGACGCAGAGGAGGCCCAGGACGAAGAGGTTGAGCACGAGGGTCAGGATGACCAGCGCGCTGTTGAACCCTTGGCTCTCCTGGAGCTCGTCGGCGTAGGTGGTGCCCTCGAGCAGGTAGCTCACGATCGCGCCCACCTGGCCGTGGTTGCGCCACGCCGTCTGGGCGCCGAAGGTGACTGTCACCGTGAGTATGGCCAGCTCCTCCATCCTGTTCTCGATCACCTTCTTGAAGGGCTGCAATGCAAAGAAGAAAAAGAAGAAGAAGAAGAACAAACGGTTCAGCATTCATGGATGATGATGAAATATTCTATGCCGACACCAAAGGGGGGTTGTGAGATGGGAGATGGGAGGGAGGCGTGCCTGCAAGACGAACTGGAGGCAGAGGGAGAAGAGGAGGACCACGAAGATGAGACTCGCGCGCCAGGGCGTGTGGAGGGGCACCACGGAGATGGCCAGGGCGAGCGCCAGGCGCCGCAGGAGGATGGCCAGCTCGAACCAGAAGAACTGTGGCTTGTAGCAGTAGTACAGGTTGCCCAGCCTGCGCGCATGTGTGGTGGTGGTGGTGGTGGTGGTGGTGGTGGTGGTGGTGGTGGTGGTTACACATCAACCAACCAGGACAAGAACGTTATTCATCTCAAATCGTGAGGTGCTTCCCCTGTTGGAATGCAAACCATTCAGGGCACGTCGCGTGGTCACCGCTAGCACGCACCATTGGTTGACCTGCGGCTGATCGATGTCCTTCCGGTGGAGGAAGAGGAGCACGCCGAACAGGATGGGGATCCCCACCACGTACAGGGCCAAGGCCACTGCCGCCATCGGCACCAGCACGCTCCACTCCGTGTCCCTGTCATGGCCTTTGCGGTTACGATGATGTCGCAAGAGAGCGTGCGAGCGTGTGCGTGCAAAGAGGGAGATGCGTACAGAGAGCACTGGAGCCAGGGGAGGCTCTGCATGTAGGGGACCTGGGTGAGTGGCTCCTCGGGGCAGTTGAAGACCTCGAGCGCGCGCCTGGACATCTCGAAGTAGAGGAAGTAGAGCGTGTACATCCACAGGTAGAGGCCGAACCCCCACCGGCTCGACGACGCGGGCGGCGGAGCTACGTCGTCTGCCTGTTCGCCGCCGGCCTGCGGGTCGCGGGCGCCTGGAGCGAGCAGCAGCGGCGTGGCATCGTCGTCGTCGTCGTTGACAGGCTGGCTGCAGGGCTCCGGCTCCTGCGGCAGCTGGTTGTCGTTGTCGTCGCTCGACTCGACAAACTTGCCGTAGGCCCAGCCGGCGAGGGTGGCGAGGCCAACATAGGCGAGGACCAGGACCGTGGCCCCCGGGATCAGCAGGAACGACGAGAGGAGGTTGAGCGCGGGTGACGACAGCACCGGCAGAACGCATTCCAGACCCAGCCCTGGTGGTCACCAACATCATCGTCATGAGCCATGCCGAATTGAGACCGAAAAAAATTGATCGCATTCCACGTGTAGTGCCTGCAGTCTTGGCATTACGGATGTCCAGGTACCGCATGCCCAGCCTGGATCATCGCATGCGTTCAAAATGAACAAGCAGAGCAACCATTAAAAAAATTAACTATTAGATATATATAAAAATAGTTATATGACACAAAAAGCCAGACCAGAAGGAAAGTGAGGGCGTGCGCACCGGAGAGCCCAGTCGGGCCAGATGTTGTTGAGGGATGACGTGGTCTGGAGGTAGAGGAGGAGGATCTTGAGGGTGTCGCTGTCGGAGATGATGTTCATGGTCTGGCACAGCTTGAGGTAGAAGGCCTTCCGGTAGTTGAAGAGGTAGAACCCGAACGCGACTCCCACGACGGCCGCCAGGACCCCGCTGCGAGATTGCGCCCTTCTTGGCGACGCTCTCGCACTTGATGCAGGCCGACTTGCTCCGGAAGTAGCAGTCCTCGAAGCCCTTGCAGATGCACCTGCTGCACAGACGACCCTCGGTACCTATCCGCGTGCAGTGGTGCGTGTAAGCGTTCAAGGAGAACGAGGTCGAAGGAGGAAGTGGGCGAGGGGTAAACCTTCACCGCACAACCGGCAGTAGTGGGCGAGGCCCTTCTTCCAGGTGGCCGTGCAGTTTCCGTCGGGTTGCACGAGCGGTTGCATTGACAGCATCGATGACCAGGTCTGGGGGAAATGCACTCGTGCGCGTCAGTCAAAGTTCGGGTTAACATCCAAACAGAGGACGAGGAGCAGCACGCGCACCAGGGCACGGAATGGCCAAACCAACTGCAAAAGCGATGACAACAACAGCAGCAGCAGCAGCAGCACAAAAGAAAATGTGATTGTAAGTGTAGGCCAATTCAGGGCCGGTTATGCATAAAACGAAGATGAACCCGTGCGGTAGCGTACCGTAGACGGGTGGGCTGTCCGCGGTGGTCGGTGGAGCGGTGGAGGGGTGGTCGAGGGTGAGCTTGTCCTGGGAGGTGACGAGCACGGGGTAGTAGCCCACCTTCCACTCGAGCACGTTGGTGCCCTCACTGCAGTCACAGTTGAACGGGCACGACCTGCACTCATCGGGCGGTTCCCCGTGGTAGTTGCTGCTCGACCAAGAGGCAAGGTGTGGCGAGAAAGAGGAATGAAAACAATGTTGTCGACACCCCTTAAAAGGGTGCATTCACGCGGGTGTGTTGGGTGCTTACTGGCACACTCGCACAGGCGGTAGTTGTAGTAATCGGGGGACATGGAGATGGTGAGGAAGGCGTTGCCGGCGAGAACGATGCTGGGGCAGGTGAAGATGCGCCCGTCATCGACCGACATCTCGTTGAGGTCCTGCTCGTAGTAGACCGGCAGAGTGCCGTTGACCGCACGCATCAACACGTTGCCTGCCCACCGCCCACCGCCCCCCCCCCGATGCAGAGTAACCAGATGATAAGGGTCCGTTTCGTGGTTTCTGTGGCGAAGGACGTGAGTGGCCGGAGGTGGGGAGAGAGTCGACGAACCGGTGACGGAGAAGGCGGTGAGGGAGGCGTCGGCCATGGCCTGAATGCGATCGTCGATGGCTCCCTCGAGGTTGTTGTAGCTGAGGTCGATGCCGTTGATCTGCTTCAAGTTGGTGTAGAACTGTTCGGGAATCTCTCCTGCGTGCACGTGTCGTGTATGCGTGTCGTGTGCGGAGTACGAGTGCGTGTGTGATGTGTGGAGAGTGAGCAGAGGCTCTTAGGGGCAGCTGGGTGGGGGGAGGGTGTGCCACACCGGTGAGGTTGTTGTGGTCGAGGGCCAGCTGGCGGAGCATGGCGAGGTTGGCGAGGCTCTTGGGTATGGGGCCGCTGAGTTTGTTGTCGGAGAGGATCAGCTTCTGCAAGCGGGTGATGTTCCCCAGCTCCTGCCCAACGAATGGACCAATCAACGAGAGACAGCGGAGATGAGCGTACGCGCGTTTGAACGCTGCCGGATGACCCGTCCATCCATCCATCCATCCATCCATCCATCCATCCATCCATCCATCCATCCATCCACATCCATCCATCCATCCATCCATCCATCCATATCCACATGCAGGGGCAATAGCAAGAGGGCAACATGGGGGGTACCTCGGGTATGGGTCCGGTCAGGTTGTTGTGGCCCAACACCAGGTACACGACGCCCGGAGGCGACACTGCATATGTGTATAGAAATGAGGCCGCCGCCGCCGCCGCCACTGTGATGAGGATTTCAAATGTGAGCACGTGCGGTACCGGATAGTTGGCCCAACTCCTTGGGTATGTGGCCGCTGAGGTCGTTTTCCGACAGGTCCTGCGTCGCGTCGAGAGGGAAGAAAAGGCGATGAGCCGGGCTTGGCGGTCGCGAATGACGAGCCGCCGCCACCATCGTGCAGGAGGAAAATGATCAGGAGGGGAGGTATACCAGCTCCTCAACGTTGTTGAGGTGGCCCAGGGAAGGCGGAATCGGGCCGGAGAAGAGGTTGTTGTCCAGACGCAGGATCGTCAACTGGCTCAGCTCGCCCAGCGAATCCGGCAGTGGCCCGCTCAACTGCACATCGCACACCCACACAGAAGGCGCCCAGCCGCATCGCACACATGTGCGTTTGGTGAGTTTGTTCTTTGATGTGTTTTGCACCATCAAGCTCGCCACCGTGTTATCATGTTCATGATCGACATGGTCGTACCTGGTTGTCCTTGAGGTCGAGATTCTGGAGGGCCGATAGGTTGCCGATCTGCGACGATAGTGGCCCGGAGAAGGAGCACGAATAGAGGTAGAGCACCCCCAGCTGGCCGAGGGAGGTCAGAGACGACGGGAGCGGCCCGCCCAAGAGCGGGTTGTGGCTGAGATCGAGCACCACGAGCCCCGCCAGCCGCCCCAGCGACGCCGGCAGCTCGCCCGTCAGGCCGTTGCGCGGCAGCTGAATGTAGATGTCGCCCGCGTCGCACTGCACGCCATACCACTTGCAGTGCGTGCCCCACGCCAACCAACACGTCCTGCACACGACACGACAAACGCAACACGACACGACACGACACGACACGACACGACACGACACGACACGACACGACACGACACGACACGACCAATACAGACGGAGCCAACCAACCCCGTCATTAGCGCCCCAGTTGCACACAACCTGCGAGGTGAAAGGTGTGGCGGGCGGCGCACGAGTTGTCGTCTGAATGGCGGCACTGGTGCGTCCACGAGGGACCTCCGGTGGCGTGGTAGAAGTCCTGCAGCAGCTGCTCTACTCCCTCCTCTGCGCATGCCCCCCCCTCTTTGAGTTTAGGTCCGACACCGGCGGGGAGGAACTGGTTGACGTACGAGGACCGGCACTTCCAAGGGGTGAGAACAGGAGGACCAACAACAACAACACGGGTGCGATCGCCCACCCGCCCCCTGGTACCCGCATCATCTATTGACGACCGTCGGGTATTTGCGCCACTTTTAGTTTGTCGACCGGCCCCAATGTGAGCACGATTTGTGCAGTCGAATCCAGCTCCGCCGGCGAAGGCGGCAAGGGCTCCGAAGAGTACTACCGGAGGGGTGGCACAAGTTCGCAAGTGGTGCGGGCAAGGCAGCTGCCGCAGCTGTGAGCGATCTATGCGGCAAAGATGGAGCTGGATTACAAGTCGCTGGTCCTGCTGCTGTGGTACTCGTTCTTGGCCATCGTGAAGGTCATCTTTATTGCTGCCTTCGGGGGCTTCTTCACTCGCTCCCACCTCCTCTCCTCCGGCGCCAAGAAGGACCTCAGCAACGTACGCCACAATATTTATTATTTATCTTTTATCATTTGTCATTTTTTACAGAAATATAAATATAAACAAAGCTGTTAAAATTACAAGGTGGCTAATTCATATTTTTATGGTGTTATGGTCTTAAATTTTGCATTGGGCGCAGCTGGTGTTCTACTTGTTCACGCCGTGCCTGCTGTTCGCGAGTGTGAGCACCACGGCGGACGCCGAGAGTCTGCTGCGATGGTGGCCCCTGGTCGTGTTCCCCATGATCTGGCAGGCCATCGCCTTCGCCGCCGGCCACCTCCTGGTGATGGCTCTCCTGCCCGCCCTCGCTCCCGCCTCCTCTCTGCCCCTCCTCTCCTCCTCGCCCGCCTCCGTTCCCCATCTCCAGCGCTCCAAACGGTGAGGCTCTCCTTCGCGCTCATGTATCCGTATCGTGTGTGTGTGTCGTGTGAGTGTTGTGTGCGTGTGTCATGTGTGTGTCGTGTGTGGCTTGCAATGCTGACCGGGCCGGATCGGGTGAAGTGAAGAAGTGGTCAAGTGCCTGGTTAGCTCTTTGGTGTTCTGGGTACGTGGACACGTTCGCGTATCGTGTGTGTCGTGTCTGTGCATTGCGCGGTCGTTGGCTCAACCGAATGTCACGATGGCCTCCATCACCATCATCACCACCGCTGCAGAACGCCGGAAACCTGCCGCTCAGTCTCATCATCTCTATCACACGCGACATTGAGCCGTTCGCCTCCGACCCGACGGCGACCTCGCGCGGCGTGGCCTACACGTCGATCACCATGACCTACCTATCCCTCATGTGCTGGAGCGTGGCCTACAACTACCTGCGCCCCTCCTCCCCGTCGCCCTTGCGTCTGCCCATCGGCGCCGACGACACCACCGACGACGGCGACGCGGGCCCTCTCGCGTACGGCCAACACAAGAAGCTCGATGATGACAACGACGATGGTCGTCGATCGGCAGCCGAGAAAGCCACCTCCGGTGACAAGAAGGCGGTAGCCGCAAGCGCATTGCCATGGCAGCGGCTGGCTAAGGAGCTCTTCACCCCGGTGACAATCGCACTCGCCATCGCCCTCGTGGTCGGGCTCGTCGGGCCGCTCCGCAGGTAAACCACCCCTCGTCACTCACTCACCCACCACCCGCCCTTGTGGCCCTGATCCGCCATCGATTGTAACGCGCTGCATGTGCGGTCACGCAGCGTCTTCCACGAGCCGGGCGCGCCGTTGAAATTCGTGAGCGACCTCACCAGCACACTGGGCGCTTGCGCCGTGCCCATCATCCTCCTCGTTCTGGGCGCCAGCCTAAGCAACGGCCCACAAGCCCTCCGCATCAGTGCATGCCCCCCCCCACAAACTGTGCAATTATTATTGAATTGGTTGACGTGTAACCGGGCTGCGATGATCGATCAGGCAGGTGGGCGGTCGTGGGTATCGTCGGGGTGAAGCTCTTGCTCATGCCCGTCATCGGGATCGCGATGGTGTGGACGGCCAGCCGATGGGGCCTGCTGCCCGACGACCCTCTCTTCCTACTCTGCCTCGTCATCCAGGCGTCCAGCCCATCTGCCACTGCACTCGTATGCTCCTCCCACACAGCAGCGTGCAGACTCTTGACCTCGCTGCTGGCACAACACGCGCACGACACGCGCATCGCACGTAGCCCGCTGACGGTGATGGTGCATCAGGTGGTCATCACGGAACAACTTGGCAGCGGCTCCGGCATGATGGCAAGTCTGCAGTTTTGGCAGTACCTCGTCGCCATGTGCTCCGTCACCGTGTTCATCGCCCTCAGCCTTTACCTCTTCGTGTAGATAAAACGAGGACTTTTCTTAATTACCTGACGTGGCTTTCTTGTTTATTTTCCCCTCTTATTTCCCTCTTCCCTTCTCTACGTCCGAGCAACAATGGAGGCAGAGGTGAGCAAGGAGGAGGAAGCCAGGCGGTCCGACAAGTGGCGAGCAGATGTGGTGGGCGGCCTCCTCGTGGCGTGGGTGGTGGTGCTGGTGTCGTGGGTGCTCTACTTCCACTTCACGGCCGTGCTGCCCTACACCGCACCCGCACGCGCTCCCGCCGCCTCGTCCTCGTGGTGGTGGGGCCAGGCCTGGTGGTGCTTCCACCTCGCCTCGTGCCTCTGGCTCTTCCAGGGCGGCACCGCCTCCTACTTCTCTGTACCACCACCCTTTCCTTTTATTTATGCATTTTATTTTATTTTATTTGTTGTGCGGCGAGTAGTGCCTCACTTCTCCGTTTGGGTGCCGGGGGGGGGGGTGACTGAAGGCTCTGCTGACCCGGCCGGGGTATCCGCGGCGGATCGGGGAGCAGGAGGTGCGGCAGCACTATGCGCACCTCCGCGACATGCCCGTGCCCGCTCGCGGCGAGGGCTTCTCGCGCTGGTGCACTCACTGTACCGTGCATCCGCTGCCCACCCTCCCCCCTCCTTGCATCATCATTGGTCGCCGCTGGCGGAGTCTAACGGGGCGTGTGCGTAGGCCAGCAGCCCAAGTTCGATCGCACCCACCACTGCAAGTACTGCAACACGTACGTGCGACATGCTTGCCGGCACATGCGCACCCGCACGCACTATTGTGCACACGCACACGCTCGGCACCGTGGGTTGCGCGGTTCAGCTGACTGGTTGTGTCGGGGGGACCGAATTGCGCACAGGTGCGTGCTCAAGATGGATCACCACTGTCGTACGCGTTTCTCCACCCATACATACAAAAGGGCATGATCCTTCTCCTCTTCGGCCTCGCGCACGTCTACGAGCCTGCCGCACCTGTGCGATCGTTGCGCGCCGTGGTGACGATGGTGACGATGGTGACGATGGTGCATGGTGCGTGGTGCGTGTGATAGCATGGATATGGAACTGTGTGGGGCAGAACAACCACCGCCACTTCTTCCTCTTCGTCGTCTACGTGTGGCTGTCCAGCTTCTACGGCGCCCTCAACGTGCTCCCGCTCTTCTACGAGGCCTACAACAGCGAGGTACTCACACTGCGTGCGCACACGCCAGTCGCTCGAGCGCGGGAGTGACAATGCTCATGGCACGCGCAGGAGTGGACGCTGCCGATGCCCCGCAGCCAGGTGGCGGTGTCCACATTCCTGAACGTGTCGACCGTGCTGGCGGTTAGCATCCTCCTCGCGGTTCAGGCCTTCCTCATCTCCACAGGTGCGCACACGCGCAAGCCCCGGTTGGTGTGAAGTGCGGCGCCATTCCTGTTGACCCTTTCCGCGTGCGCCGCGTGCGTTGTGTGTTGACATTGCAGGGCAGACGTCGGTGGAGTGGCAGGTCAATCGGGTGCAGCGGAAGAAGGCCAAGCTGGAGGGGCGGCCGTTCGTCAACCCGCACGACTTCGGCTTCCGACGCAACTGGGAACACTTTCTCGGCAAGCACAGCCTGCCGTTCGTCCTGCTACCCTCCCTCGTCGCCCCTCCGCCCCTCGGTGCGTTTTTCCCGCGGGCCGCTCGCGCGCTCACGACGCAACACAACACACGCACTCAACACACGATACGCGCACCGCTGACCGGGTGTGATGGGGCACAGACGAGAGCTCGGAATCCCACTACGCCGGAGTGTGAGTCGAGGAAGCCAGTCCGTCAGAGCGACGTCGATTCCTCACGCACTCTTCGTCAACCACCACCGCAGTGCTCGGCAAACTAGAAGAGAGGCTGGACACCCGTGCTGTGAATACGCGCGACATTTACTTCGGGGCTGATGAGCCTCGCCGAGAACAGGAACAACAAGAACTAGAACAAGAACCCCTTCAGAGGGCCTTTTTCTTCTCGGCCTCGGCAGCGTGGAGGAGGGTCTCGAACTCGGCGAGCGAGTGGAGGGGCCAGCACTCGATCTGGCCGTTGTGGTCGAGGAGGAACGGGGCCACGTGCTGGTTCTTGTAGTGGACGGAGATGGTCTTGGCCAGGAGGGACCGGTTGGCGTCCCACAGGCACGCGAGGTTGGCCCAGCTGTACCAGTACCGCGTGTAGCCCAGCCGCCCGCGCTCGGCGTCCTCCCGGAACATGGGCCGCGAGCGATGCAGCAGCGTCGACTGCACCACCCGCCACAGCAGCGCCTTCACGTAGTCGGCCAGGCTCAGGTCCAGCCACACGATGTCCCTCGCCTCCTCGAACAGCGCATCATACGTCTGGCCACGCACACACGCACACCACCACCGCACGCACGCACGCACGCACGCACGCACAAAGAGAATGGGTTAATGATTGAAGCAAGAAGGTGGGAGAACGACACGTACCTCCCACCGATCGAGGGTCATGTCGATGACGTAGCCGTTGTACTTGTTCTTGCTGAAGAAGCGGCGGACCATGTCCCCGACGCGGCTCGGGAAGCGCTGCTTGATCTCGGCCTCCTTGCGCCAGTCGCGCGGCCGCCGCACCGCGCCTTCTTCGGACCCCTTCCCCTTCCCTTCGCCCTCCTCCTTCTCCTCCTTATCCTCTTCTTCTTCGTCGAAGAAGATGTTGACGTTGGACAGCTCCAGGTAGGGCACCTTGAGCGCCTGCGCCAACCGCCACGCCGGACGCTCCTCGAGGGGCGTGCCGGGCATCGTCCCTGGTGTAGACGGGCGCAGGGCAGGGGGGGTGGCTGACGTCAGAAGGGGGGCAGGCTCGAGGAGAAGTGGTGGTAAGTGGAGTAGCGCAGAGTAGAGTGTAGAGGCCTTGGGTGTACCGATGAGCACCACCTTGGTGCGGGTGACGAGGTTGGACCCGGGCAGCTGGTCGATGGTCTTGTTCCGCTTACCCGCGTCGTAGTCGAACCTGTACCGGTGGCCACCGACGAACAAGAAGAAGAGATAACGGTCGAATTATTTAATGTATATATTCGCTACTAGATTAAATAAATCAATCAATAAATAAACAGAACAGGCTCAACTTAGGTGGCGGACCTCTTTTCGTAGTACAGCCAGAGCGTGAGGAGCGTGAGGAACACCACTAGCCCGGCAACCAGCAGCAGCGCCAGCAGCCACATGTTTTTTCTGCACCTGGCCTAGATCTGTGTGTACTGGGGGGGGGGTAGTGAGTGAGCACTCTGCCGGAGCCCCAACACGTTGGTGCCCGTTGCGCACTGGCACTGGCCCCTGCTACGAGCACCACTCATCGGGAAGGCCAGCCGTACTGGTGGTGGGCGCCTCCGGAAGTGGGAAAATAAAGTTGGAATGAATAAATAAATCTAAAATAAACAAATATTTATATTTTTTTCTTATTTGGTGTAAGAGAGGTTGCACGTGAAGCAGATGGTTCAAGGCTCGTTGATGGTCCAGAGGTGTTTGTACTTGATGAGGTTCTGCATGACCTCCTGCTTGGGGTTGAACTGGGTGGCGAAGAGGAGCAGGGTCATGTGGTCGTAGGAGGCGTGCTTGCCCACGGCCAGCCCGAACGCCGTCCACTGCGGGTTGAGCAGGTCCTTCCGCTGCTCCCTATCGGCGTCCCCGTCCGAAATGAGCAGGTTCATCAGCACTGCCCGTGCGTCCCTACCGCCGAACGCGCTCACCTGAGTGCAACACACACACACACACACACCAGGTGAGCAGATCAGCTTCAAGGTGCGTGGTGGGGGGGGGGAAGCGGGTGGGGCACCTCGATGGCGGTGCCGCCCGGGGTCAGGCCACCGTACTCGCGCATCTTGACCACCGTGTTGGTGTCCACTTCCCCGGCCGGCCCGCTCACGTTCACCACAGCTGCGCCCGTTCCACCAGACCCGTGTGAGAGTATGCGTTTGTTTGTGTGTGTGTGTGTGTCGTGTGTGTGTCGTGTGTGTGTCGTGTGTGTGTCGTGTGTGTGTCGTGTGTGTGTCGTGTGTGTCATGTGTGGAGTGTGCGTGTGCTGTGCGTGCCATTGTGGCAGTGCGGGTGCACCTTTGCATGCAATCGACATGGCGGGCTCGAGGCGGAGGGAGGGGAGAGGCTGTGTGGCGCGCAGAGCGGCGATGGCCTCATTGCACCCCGCGACGCCTGCACACCGGAAAACGAAGACCACCAGCCACCAGCCACCACCACGCGATCGTGAGTGGTTTGCGCCCTCCGTTATCCTGGTGTGCGGCGCAAGGGGAGCGGGCCACCTTCGCGGGTTTCGATGATGACGTCGTCCTTGCGCCTCTGTGCCTTGAAGACCAGGTCCTTGCCCTGCCCACGGCCGCGCGTGTGAGACGTGTGGGCCACGCAACGCGTCGCGCAGACTAGCCACAAACAAACGATTGGGGGGGGGGTACTCGGTAGAGGGGCTTGCGCTCGGTTTCGAGGAGCTGGGCGTAGGCTGCCGGGTTTCGCCGCAGTGCCGCGACCTCGCTGGCAAGGGCCAGCTCCCAGGCTGCCAACGAGCACGCCCCCATTGCCCAAAAGAGAGAAGCCGTGAGAGAGCCAGCACGACCAAGCCAACAACGACGGAGGGACGGCAGTGAAAGAGCGAAAAGCGAGATGGGGGGCGATGGGGCACCGTTGTAGGGAGGCAGGGGCGTGGAGGGAGGGGGCGGAGGGGCGGCCATGGCGCACGTTGGACCTGTGTGGTTGCTCTGGTCTGGTGGCGCAAGATGCTGTTGGTTGGGTGCTGTTTCTTTGCTGATTTTCTCTTTCTTTTTTCTTATTCGTTGAAGAAAAAAAGAAAAGACAAAAACGAAAACCAAAAAAGTCTAGAAAACGAAGGAGAAAATCACGTGCCCGCAGAAGGCACAGGCCGTCACACGAAACACGCACGCCTTTACCTCTCCTCTGGTGGCCCTCCTCTCTCTCTCTTTGCACACTCGATAGACGGCCGCGTGCAATCTTTCACCCTTTCCTCCGCACTTCAGCCCTTGGATGAATGCCTCGTTCTACTCGTCCTCCTTCCCTCCACCACACTTTAGCTCTTCTTCTGCCACTTTTGCTCTGGGTTCTGCTCCTCATCGCTCCTGCCTGCTCATCTTTCCTCTACGCGCCTAAAATGTCGGCCATCTCCGATTCCACATCAGCCGCCTCTCTCACATTCCGAGAGGCGAACGAGGAGTCCAAGGACAGCTTCACCCTGCTCCTCCTCATAGTGCTGCTCATCGTCTGCTTCGTCTCGGCCTACATCCTGCGCCAGCTACAGAGCAAATGGAAGATCCTTCACGAAACAGGTGCCGCCATCCTGTTCGGCGCGATTATGGGGGCCTTCATTCGATTCTTCGCCAAGTTGGAGCGACTGCAGTCGATCGTCCAGTTCGACTCTGAGTTCTTCATGCTCATCCTGCTCCCGCCCATCATCTTCGAGTCTGGCTACAACATGCGAAGGGTACATCTTCCCACACCCAAACGCTCTACGTTCGCCAACCACCACCTGGCGGTTACCGTGGAGAACACACCGGCTTTATTTGGTCCCTAACGTTGTCACCTGCACCACACACACGACACACAGAGCAACTTCTTCAACAACATCGGGCGTATCTCTGTGATGGCCTTCGTCGGCACCCTCATCTCGGCAGGCATTTTCGGTGGCTTGCTCTACGTGGTTGTGTCCTGGGGCCTCACCCTCCCGCTGTCGCTGTTGGAGTGCTTCATCTTTGGCTCCCTCATATCCGCCACCGATCCGGTCTCTGTGCTCGGTGAGTACCACACACACCACACACACGCGTTCCTCTCTCTCTCTCTCTCTCACTCTCTTCTCGCCATCACGTTGTTGTCCCCTCCCGACCAAGATCTAACCTCTGAGCCACGCGACGCACACAGCCATCTTTAAGGATCTGGGCGTGAACAAGAACCTCTACGCGTCGGTCTTTGGAGAGAGCATCCTCAACGACGCCATTGCCATCGTGCTCTTCAGGTACGCGCGCTCTCCCACCAGCGGGACAGAGGCGACGATTGAGCAACGTATTCACGGCTGAGCGGCGCTGTCTATACGTACAGAGCGCTGAGCACGACGACGTCCAAGGAGCTCTCTATTGGAACCCTCCTCAACATAGTGTTGGAGTTCACCGTCAGCTTTGCCGGCTCCTTTGCCGTGGGCGTGACGATTGGACTGCTGTCATCACTGGTACACCTCCCCAATCAATTAACACTCACTTCTACCAGCCTTTAACACACACACACACCCACACCACACCACACCAGCTGTTCAAGTACACGCAATTCGACAGGTACCACACCCTGGAGCTGGTGTTGCTCGTGCTGTATTCCTATTCGTCGTACCTGCTCGCAGACGGCTTGGGCCTATCTGGTACAACCCCCCCCCCCGCGCCGTGTGCTGTCCTCGGCCTTGGACGTGGTGTCTGCGGTGCATGCGTGTGCTGAACCCAGGGTTGTCGGCCCGTGTGCAGGCATTGTCGCGATCCTGTTCTGCGGGGTGGTCATGGCGCACTACACGTACCACAACCTCTCCCCGCAGGCCCAAAAATTCTCGACCAAGCTCTTCAAGGTGATGGCCTCGCTGTCGGAGATGTTCGTGTTCGCCTACCTGGGCCTCGCCCTGTTCAGCTTCGATCAGGTGTACGACATTGGCCTGATCTTCTTCAGCGTGGTACGCACGCAAGCCTCGCCTCGTCGCAAATAATATCTCTCAGCCCTCTGATGCGTGGACGCTGACAATCCGCGACACACGCACACACACAGTTGTTCTGCCTGGCGTCACGGCTGTTCAACATCTTCCCGCTCAGCCTGATGATCAACATCTACCAGCGGAAGAACCCCAAGCGACAGATACCGCTCAAGGAGCAGTTCGTCATGTGGTTTGCCGGTACGCTTCGCTTCACCAAGTGTGATCGACGCTTTTCGCCCGCGGCTGCCCCCCCCCGACGTCTTGATGCTCACACGTGTGTCGTCCAAACGATTAAGGTCTGCGAGGAGCGATGGCGTTTGCGCTTTCGCTGGACACGCAGACGGAGCACGCCCTCTCGATCCACACGACGACGCTCTTCATCGTGCTGCTGACGGTGATGGTCATGGGCGGCGCCACGGGTCCGCTGCTCATTTTGCTCGACGTCAAACCTCAGGCCGCCGGCGACGAGGAAGAAGTCGATGAAGTGGACTCCACGTTTTGGATGCGTCTCGACAGAAGGTGCGACGACTCCCGACTACTCATCTCTTGCTATGTTTATCATCCTACCATAATGACGGATCACATGTGGTGTGATTCATATTAATATCTCTCGAACGCGCGCAGATACATCAAGCCCATGCTCATCAAGCGAGTGGCGCTGCCCCACTACTACGCGACGGAGATGGTGGGCCAGGACTTTGAGACCACCGAGATGATGGAGCTGGAGATGGAGGAGGACCCAATGGGGGAAGACGAGGATAACAACGGTGCGCATCACTCACGCCCTTTATTATTATTTATTATTTACTGGCTGTTGCTACCATCCCATCATCGTCACCAGCACCAACCTCGCTCGCCGACGTCCCACTCGTCGATCTCTCTCCAGGAGCGCGCATGCAGTTTCGGAAAGGGGGCGTGGGCGATCTCTCGGACGATGAGGAGCTGGTCGGTGCTGTGTCGCTGAACGAACTCGACCGTGGCCAGGCTTCCTTCAGCGCCGGAACAACCAACTAACTGAGGCGCCTGCGCAGAGGCTGGCCGACTGGGCGGCCGTGGTCGTGGTCGACCACAAGGATGTACACAAAGAGAGATAAAGAGAAAGTTGAGAGAGAAGGCGCATAATTCGGCCTAGAAGTTCTTTCTCGTCATAAGATGCGCCTTTTCCATCTCGTCCCCCTCTCGATTTGGCCCCCTTCGCTCATGAGGGCTTCTTCTTCTCCTGGCGCCTCGATGCGGGACTCCATCGCTTTCCACACCACCACCGCCCCTGGCAACGACAACAACCAGGCTTGATTAGAGCGAACCTTCCACAACAACAACCAACAACCAACAACAAGAAGAGAGTTCTTCGACCAAGGCAGCTCTCGTCCGAGCGTCGCCTAGCCCCCCCCGTACACCCCCTCTCTACTCGTTGGGGAGGCCTCGGCCGTTGCTGGTCCCGCCGCTCGTTGTCTGTCAGTCGCCGTGCGGCGCGTGAGGACCACCACCCACCACACGCCGGCGGAGAGTAGCCCTGGGGGCCACGCGCGGCGGTTTCCAGGGATGTCGTCGCCGACAAGTGCGTTCGTTCGATTGCCCGCTGCCCCGCGGGCCACCACCCCGCTGCAATGCCCTGTCCCGTCTTGGTACGCTCGACACGCACCACAACACACGCACACGCACCACCGCACACGATGCTGATGTGAAGGTGCCCGATCTGTCAGGCACACGCTCTCTCGGGCGGCGGCGGGTGGTGTCGGCCATCGCAGCTGATCTGCGGCTCTCTTCTCCCCTTGGCCGTGCGGGAGCCCCGCAGGCAGGCCTACCGCGCGTCCTCCCTTCTCGAGACGTGAGCGCCTCCTCGCGCGGTATCATCTGGCCTCCCACCGCACACGCACCACCGCATGACCGCACACGCACATGCAGACTCACGTGACATCTTCTCTCTATCTCTCTCTCCAGGGCGCCAACACCGTCGGGCATCGGGCTGGATACGCAGGAAAAGCCCCTCCCCTTGGAGGAGCCGGCCGACGTCGTGCTGGTGGCGGCGGCGGCGGGGCATGGGACGCACGACGTCATCGTCGATGTGTGAGCGCAGACTCCCCCCCCCCGCACCGTCGCCGCCCCGAGCTTCCCCGTAACGTCGCACGTACCTGTTGTACATACCGCTACCCTCTGATATCATCATCATCATCTGCTGCTGCTGCTATGCTGCCGCTTTAAAGCAAGCCGTACTGATCTCCCGCTCCCCATTCCCCATTCCTCTTCCCTGCCCAGCAGGTGTTCGTAAAGGGAGGTTTAATAGCTGCAATGATGACGACGAACACCTCCTAAAGCAATCCCTTCGCCATCGGTTTCATCATCATCTTCTTCTTTCGGTCAGGGGGCTGCTGCACCTCGGTACCCCCCCCTTCAGTTGTTTTCCTCATTCGTTTCCTGACCAACTTTCCTTTGCTTGCGAGTTATTTGTGTTATGTGGTTCTGGTTTTTGGTGGGTACTGTGCCCAGATTTGCTTCTGTGCTTTGTGCTTTGGTTCACTGCTGACATGGACATTGTGTTTTCCAGTGGCCAGGAAAAATTTTGAGAGAAGAGACCAGTTCTCCAACTTCCCATTGTACTGTCAACAGCTCAAGCAACTACTACTGCAAGTAGTTGACAATGATGATGATGAAGTCTAGCAGCATCATCCTGCTTCTGGCATTCCTCCTTTTTGCCACCCAGTTGTTTGGGGGTTGACCACACCTGGTACCATCTGCTCATGGAAATGACTCCCTCTGGTGTAGTTGGCTTGACCTTCAACTCCATGACAGGGCTCAACCACCCCCTTCTTCTCACCTTCTTTGACCTCAACCTCAACTGCAATGTGGTTGCCAGGGCTGGTGTGTTGTCCTATCATCATCCCAGACCCCTCAGTGTCATTGAGATCTACAACAACAACAACAACATCAACATCAAGATCTACAACAACAATGACAAGAACAACAACAATGAGAATAAGAACAACAATGTCAACAATATCCTCCACAACCATGTGCTTCTTGTTGAGGAGGGCCTTGCCCCTGGCACTCAAGTGGAGGAGACCTCATCATCACCATTGTCAAGTTGGTGCTACACCCAGCCAGTCTTCACACACCTCTTGCTCATACACCCCTTCCTGGCCCTCACCCACTGACATTGGCCTACCATCCAGTACCCCTCAGCCTCACCAAGAGATTCAACAACAGCAACAGCAGCAACATCAACCATATCAACAGCAATGTCAACAACATCTACCTCCTCCACATCTATGCACTGACTGTCAAGAAGGCCATTGTGGAGGGCCTCACCCATGACAGCACTTGAGTGGAGACCTCATTGTCATCATCAAGGTGGTGCTACACCAGGCCACTCTTCATGCACCTCTTGCTGTGCCCCTTCCTGGCCTTCATGTACATCCTCAACTCTTCACTCCTGTTGTGGCCTTCACTCCCATCATCATGGCCTTTGGTCTTGTCAGCACTTCCTTCACTCCCTTCATGGGCTTCACTTGCTTCAACTGTCAGCAGGGGCTGCTACATGCCACTGGGGCTGCCACTCATGCAAATGGCAATTGGGTGCCTGATCCCTCCTCTCATGCCACCCCCTGGGCACCTTTTGGTCACATTCCTGCACCTTTTGGCCACCTCTGCACATTTTTATCACACCTCCACACCTTTCTGCCACACTTTTCTGTGCACCTTTCCACACACCTTTTCCTGCACCTCAACACCTTTTCATCACAACCTCCACACCTTTTCCCAACATAGTGCCCCCCCGCAGGGGGACTTTTTTTCACCTTGTCGACAGTATAAATGATTTCTTTCTTATTTCTTTGCCATTTTTCAACACTTTTTACATCTTTATGTTGTTAAAATTGGCTTAGTTTGTATTTTGGTGTTGGATCTATTGCTACTAAAACTTGGGCTGGTAACTAGTTGTTGCTGGTTGTGAATTGCTGCTAGCAGACCTTGCACATAGTAGGGATAAGAATGAGCTTGGAGCATATACTAAGTTGGGGAGGCAATACAAAGCAGGAGGCACCAGCAGAGGCAGTGGTGTTGCTGCCCTTCCTGTTGACCAGCATGCCACCCTGTGGAAGGGGCTGCATGTGTGGTCACTCTTCTCCTGCCCATCATGTTCATCATTGGTGTTGTCCACATGCCACCACCATGCTTGGCATCTGAGGCCTCAACCTCATTGACCTGGAAGGGCAGTGGGATGAAGTCCATTGTAGTAGACACTCACTCTCCAGCCTTGCTCTGGAACTTGTTCTCCATGCACAGCAACAACCACAACTATCATCTGCCATAGCATTGTGAACTACATGGAATGGGACCCTCTTCCCTCACCTACCTCTAGCCACTCTGTCCCTCTTCACATCTCACCAACCACACAACACACAGGTTGCAGCCCCTGTTGTCATCCAACCCTACCTCACCACTAGCACCAGTCCAACTCCTTCTCCCTCACCCTCATCACCAACTTGTCCAACCTGGACAACCCTTCTACATTGATCTGTGTGCTGAGTCCAACACAGAGGAAGACTTACAGCCATCTTGACTGCCCCACACTGGGGCAGTATGATGTGGTGTGTGTGATGTCATGCCAGTGGAGTTTGGGTTGTGCATGTTACTGCCTGGCACCACACAAGTGGGTGGAGACACTGGGATGAATGAATAAATGACCCTCCCCCTTTGTTGATATGGTGACCAGGTGTGTGCTGATCCCACATGCATAAACGGGAACCAGCAAGGGATCCCTCATTGGCTGTCAATCAGCACTTCATGGCGGCCTACGCCTGTTATAGTTGCAATTTTCTTGTTTTCTTGAGCAGTTTCTTCAAACAGAGCACAAAAGGAAAGCGCCGTTTGCTGGGGGAAGAGCGGAAAGAGGTGTGGGTCTACTCCCCAGAGCTGTGGCCGCCCGTAAGACCGTGGGAGAGGAGGACAGCGGCTTATCTTTACGCTTGCAAGAAGAGAGATGGTGGTGGGCGGTGGTGTGGCTGCCGACAAGCTGCTGACGGCCTCCTGTCCGGGCTCTGGGTGATTATCTCGATGGCGGGCCTGGTCATTGTCGAACGCCACAAGTTCAGCCAGGCGTTGCCGCTCTTCAACACGTGCGTTTATCCCCCATCCTCATCTCCTCCTCTACGTGGTACACCTCATCAGAATGCTGACGATGACGATGATGTGCAGAATCCACGGGAGGCTGGGCCTGGCGGTCCTTTTCTTCTCCTTGGTCCAAGGCATGGCGGGCACGCTCAAGTTGTTCGTCCTCCACAAAACGAACCAGGTACCTGCCGCCAACCAGTCGGCACTGCCGGCACTGCCGGCTCTGGCCCAGAACGAAGGTAAAGCTGGAAAAAACAAAACTCTATCACACGCAGCGTTTCCTGCGGTGGCACGGCCGCCTGGGCACACTCATCTACGCGAGCTCCCTCCCTGCCGTCCTCTCGGGTGCCTACGCGCAGCTGGACTCGAGTTCGTAGCGCTCTTCTCAACGCCTGCGGGTAACGCACCGATGCTGATTTGGTTGATGATGGTGTGCAGTCGAGCAGGGCACCATGATAGCGGTCTACGTGCTGACCTGCGTCTTGTCGCTCATGGTGATATTCTTCGACTTCATCGTGAAGGGAGGCGACCTCTTGCCGCACCCACCCGCGCCGATGCTCAACGAGCGGCGCATTAAGATCCTCGACAGCACCCACGCCCCTCATCCCGTCTACTCCTCCGCCCTCGACCTGGGCCTCAACCTCAACTCCTGACCGGCCAGTTACCGACCTGGCCTCCCAGAATATTTCCTCGGACGTTTCCAGTTGGCGTATCGCCATTTTGGCGTCTTCCAGATTCAAACGGCCAACCACTTTTCTTTGCTTCGTCGCGTGTGCCACCACCCCTGTGTTTCCGTCCGGCCGTCGCCACCTCCATCTTCTTCACACAACTCAAGTTGGTTTCGTTCCAGGGCCAGAGGGTATCCTTCCTTCACCCTCCCCCCCACAATTCTTCGCTTCCTTTGGTCCGGAGCTCCGGACGAACTGAGTATCATCCCCCCCCCAAACAAAGAACGAAACAGAACGAACGGCGAAGACACATAATACAAAGAACGAACAATGGGAGAAGGACTGCAGACCAAGGACGTGGTGGTGAGGTGGGGCCTCGGGCTCTCGTGCCTGGCGATCGAGGTGGCCATCGTGGTCATCGTTATCGACGCCTGCGTGCGCGTCATTGGCGCCGACCAGCTATTCTTCTGGCACCCGGTGCTCCTCACCATCGGCGCCATCCTCTTCCTTTCGCACGGTGCGGGTTTCGTTCTTTCGCAGTTGAAAAATTAGTCACCTTTATCTATTCCTATTTGTTTTTGCGCATTAATATCATTATATTTCAAAAAAGAAATAATCCGAGTGCATTATTAAAAATGCATAACGGTGCACAGGCGTGCGAGTGTACACGGCGTTTGCCGGTCTGTCGCGTAACAAGGCGCGGGTGGTGCACGGCATCCTGTCGGGCGTGTGGGTGTGTCTCTCCATCGCCGGCCTGGGCATCATCGAGCAGGTCAAGCAGGAAACCGGCAAACCCCGCTACCACTCGTACCCGCTCTCCTCTCCTTGCAAGCAGGTCCACCACACTTCACTCACCCCCGTTCTTCGTGTGTGCGTGTGCGGCGGGCGGTGTGTCGTGTCGTGTCGTGTGCAGAGTGCACGGGAGGTTGGGCCTGGCGGTCATGTTCTTTTCGCTGATACAGGGCGTCGCGGGTACGCTCAAGCTGTTCGTCCTCTTCAAGAACAACCAGGTACGCGTGTTGTGCGATCATGTTTGCTTTCGTTTCGTTGTCTCCGGCTAGATCAGATAGCTCACGGCCACGTCGTGCGCCACATTAATCACCACCGTCGAGAGCAGCGTTTCCTGCGGTGGCATGGCCGGCTGGGCACCCTCGTCTACGCGAGCGCCCTCACCGCTTTCCTCACCGGCGTGATGCAAAAGTTCGAGTCCAGTACGCAGTTCCCGCGCGATCCTCCTGCGAACCCAATTGTACTGATGGCACACACCTGACAACACACACACACCAAAATCATCAGGCGAACAGAACACGGCGATTACGGTGTACGTGCTGACGTTCGTGTTGGCCCTGGTGGTGCTCTTCTTCGATTTCTGGGTCAAGGGCGCCGATCTCATTCCCGAGGCCGGCCCGGCACCGCGGGACTCCATCAAGCTGACGGCCCAGGACGGTCGCCTCTACCTCCCCCTCAACGACTCCGACCCAGCCCAGCGACGGCGCTCGGTCAACCTCGTAGACGCCTAAATCAAAATACATGTATTTTCCTTTTAGTACTGCGCTGGAAAAGGAAACCTACCAGACATTCCCTTTGTTGAGCCTCTGCTGGGGCGTGACGCCAAGAGGCCACGGTCGTGTATTGTACAGTCGAACCATGGGCAACTCTGCGGGTGGCGGCATCCGCAGGAAGAACAGGAAGAAATGGATGAAACAGTTCAATTGTACGCGAGCTCCTTCCATGCCGTTCATGGCAGGCACTTACCTTTGATTTCTCCATTTTATTATCTTCTTCACAGTGACTGAGGCAGACGTCGAGCACGAACTACGACGGTTCAAGAAGATGGCCAACAAGGAGGGCGTCATAACCAAGGCCCAGTACTTCGAGATTGTGAGCTCGCGTATGAGCGCCTTCGGTGAGGACATGCTCCAGGCCGTCTTCCGCTCCATGGATCTCGACGGCGATGGGTAAGGCGCCCTCTACTTGCCCCCCCCCCTCCCTCTCCTTTCTTACCTTCTAATTTCTTCGTTGTACAGCACCATCGACGTGAACGAGTGGGTGGCCGTGGCCGGGCTAACCGCCAAAGGCAGCGTAGGGGACAGACTGGCGGGTACTTCCTGGTGTGTCGTCGCGCGTGTCGTGGGCATCTGTGCTGATGGTGCCTTGCGTGTAGCTTCGTTCAGGATGTTCGATGAGGACGGGAATGGGGAGCTTTCGGTAGCGGAGGTGGAGGCCATGTTCATGCGCATTGCGAAGGTGGCCGAGGGAGGCGTGCTCTCCGACGACACGAAGGCCGACACCAAGGAGGTCATCCGACAGATCTTCCTCCGGTTCGACACTGATAAGGTACCGAGAGCCTCTCTACCACTTCATAATGCCAATCCATCATCACCAGCTTCGTCACGCTTTCTTGTACAACAACCCCAACCAGAGCGGGTCGCTCTCGCTGGAAGAGTTCCAGGCCGGCTTTGCCGCCGATCCGGCCATCTGCCGCTACTTCAAGCAGTTCTGAATGATGTTGGAGCCGCTACACACCCTGGAGCACAATGACAATGATATTCATCATCCACGACTCGCTCATGTACTACTTACTCTGACGAGGTCATCATCATCTTCACTTCTTCTTGGTGTGCTTCTGCTTCCTGTCGCCGGCGGGGGAGCGGCTGAGCGCCTTCGCGAGGTAGCCGCCTTCGACGATCACCGTCCACAGCGAGAACACGAGCCACACGCCGCTCGGGATGGCGAAGAGCAGCCAGAAGCTCTGCAGGTCGTTGTGCTTGGTGTAGGCCCATCCCGTCACGTGGTCGCTCAGGAAATAGATCACCTGCAGGCGGTGCCCACTTAGAAGTGCGTGTGCGTGTGCGTGTGCGTGTGCGTGTGCGGAGTACGAGGGCGTACGGTCTTGGCGAAGCACATGAGCTGCGATGAAAAGGCGAAGAGATGAGCGGATTGGCGGCCACGGAAGTGCTGCGCGGGGTTGGTGAGTGAGTGAGTGAGAGTGATTTCTAACGCGGACTCGCTGTCGGTACCAGGAAGAGGGCGATCAGGCCCACAGCGATCTCAAAGAGGTTCATCCTGGTGTTGTCGATAAAGAACGAAGAAAGAAAGAAAGAAGATGAGGGTTGGTCCTATTCCTCTGTTGCGTCAAAACAGGAAGTGAAGCAAACAGTTGAAAATAAATAATAAATATATTTCGTACCAGGCCTGGGCGATGTTGAAGCCGTCGTTCAGGTCCTGGTAGCGACGGTCGACCGCGATGTAGGTTTCGTCTAGACGTACCCGCACACCATTGGAGAACAAAATGAAGTGAGAAAATCGCAAAAATCTTCGTTAATGGGAAGGTGCGTACAAGGCCCCCAAAACCAGGCGAGGTCGCCTCCGGGCATCGTGCGCGGGCGGAGCAGCACAAAGAGGGCATCCCACAAGCACACGGGGAACGAAAGCACGAACCACGCCACCACACCTCCCGGCAACACACGACCCATCTTTTTTGACAGGGATAGAAACAATAAAATGAATTTGTCTCGCTGCTGACGTCAGCGGGTTGCTGTTTCCTTCCTGCCAGACGGCTTTATGGTTAGAGACCATCTTGGGGGTTTCGTGCTATTTAACAAAGGGTCGATAGGTGGCTCTTCACGAGTTCAGAGACGCCTCTTGATGTCGTGCACCAGGACCGAGGTTTTCTGGGTGCGATCCCCCACGTCCCTGTTGAGGATCTCCAGCCTGCGGTTGTGGTCATCGAGCTCCTCGCCCATGTCCTGTTGTGTACGCCGTTGGAGGTGAGAATTCCGCATTTGCCGAGGGTGGAAGGCGCAGTACAAAGGCCATGAGCTTCAGGTGGTCCAGACATTCGTCGATTCGGTCGAGCGCCTTGTCCGTCTGGTCGATCTTGGTGCGCGAGTCCTCACTCAGGTGGCTGAAGTCTTCCTTGTGCTTCTTCACCTCGGGAGGACCTGCACTCACACGCATGCATCATGAGCTTTGGGAATATAATTTAACAGAAGTGCTTCTTACAACCCGAGTGGTGGAGGACGGTGCGGCCCGATAACTTCTGCCTTCTGGACTTCTTGAACTCTTCTTCGGCCCTCTTGGCCTTCTGCTCTTCGGTCATTTCCTCCATCTTGGCCGCATGTTCGTACTTCTTGGTTTTCTGCGCAACGCCGCAAACAACACGTGTGGTGAGGAAAAGAAACTGCTGGGTTGTCATAGTCCGCCACGGGGGGTACCGAGAACTTGTTGGCAATGGCGCCGGTCCAGCTCTTGATGGTGCGCATGTGTTTGTCTCCCCTCTCCAGCATCTCACCGACTTCGTCAACGTCTCCCTGCACCCTGCGGAGCTGGTCTCCCTGCTTCTCCAGAGCCTCCAGCGTCGTGGTGGCTGTCGTCATCGTGTTCTCGATCAGTTTCTGTCGAAGGGTCCTCCTAGGTCAGTAAGCTGAGGGCAAGGGGAAGTGAGACAAGAGTTCTACACAGCTGGCGTAGTGTACCAGGGAACGCATAGCACTCGCGTGAGAATCGTCCACCACCATCTCCGACTCGGCGATGCTGTGGCAGAAAAACGCGTTTGGTGAGATGCAGCTCGATGGAGGAGAAGTGCATGAACGGAGAGGGAGGGCGTTACAAGCTTTCGGTGGTACGCTCGCCCTTGGACTCATCCCACTGGTACCTGCGAATCAAGTAGTAGGGCGATGGGAAGTGATGAGAGGTAGGACTGATGGAAGAACCACCCACTACGTGGTGTACTTTTTCTTCTTGGGGAGGACCATGCCCACGCGTAGGGTGAGGCGGCCGATGACCACGTCCCCTCGCGCATCCTTGGAGGTGGCACCGCCCTTCAGCTTGTACCTTCGCGGTTCCACGTACTCGTAGTTCACGCCACCATAGTCCCCTGTGGCATAGCCCCTCGGCCAGTGGGTGAGACCTCCACGGGGCTACGAGGGGTGGGCCAGGTCTGGTGTTGCAGGTGAACCGTACCGAGGGAAAGTCGAACCTCGCCCATGAAGATCTCCTTCTTCTTGTCCAACATATCCCACACCTTGATCTCCAGCTCGCCCAGTGCGTTGCGCCTGTCTGTATTGCGCATGCGGATGTCAGTAGCAGGAATGAGAGGCAGAAAGAAACTACATCGATGCGACAGAGTAGCAGTGGGTGGAGGAGAAGAGCAGATTACCAGGAGGGATGGGGATCTCGAAGGCCTCGTTCCACTTGGGGGCTGTGTTGTTGCGCATCAGCTGGGTCTCCCACTTGTTGCCGTAGTAGCTGAGACGCACGTAGACGTCGGGGTCGCCGATTATTTTGCCCTTCTTGTCCACCCGCTGGGCGCACCGGCCCTCGACCACCAGCACCTTGATGGCCAGGTAGTCGGGGCTGCCTGGTATCATCCAAGAGGGCTTTCGGTGCCCATCGTCATCCTCACCGCTGTCGGCCTGACCACGCCGCTTTGGCTGGGGCTGTGGCGACCTTCCGACAGTTCCTTTGCGCATCTGTCCCAGCTGTGGAGCTCTACTACTTTGTCCCTGAAATCTATGACCCCCTTCACGTTTCTTCTCTGCTGTTCTGGCTTAAAAAGGAAAAAAGAAAATGGGCACTAAAGTACTTTCCTGAACCCTCGGAATTCCAAATCATTTGCGCAAACCGTTTCGAGGAAGGCTAGCCTGGCCGTCTGCATTGTCACCAAAGGATGGAGAGCAAGGACCGGAAGAGAACCCGGGAGGAGGAGGAAGAGGTCTCCGTGGAGGAGAAGGAGTTGGAGGGCACCAAGAAGAAGGCCAAGACGGAGGACGTCGAAAAGAGCGAAGCCAACGAAAAGAACGAAGACGAAGACGAAGGCGACGAGGCTGAGGAGAAAGAGAAGGGTCCCCTTCGCGAGCTGCTGCGGCGCACGTGCTGGCTGCCCGAAGTCGCGCCTGCCTATGACGTCCCGGCCGGCTCCTCCGAAGGTGATCGATCAAAGCAATTGGTGCCTTCGCCAATCTATTTGGATCTGACCAAATCCATTCATGTTTTTATCGAACAGATGATGCCAAAAGATTGGCCATCGAGGCGCCTGAGTTCAGGTTCGACCACCGTACCGACCTGACGTGCTTCGGCGGCGTGCGTCCGTGGCTGCGCAAGGACGAAGAGTGGCCGCGCTGCAGCAACAGAGATTGCACGCACCAGCTGCAGTTCTTCCTACAGGTCGACTTCCGCTTCGCCCCCGACGAGGCCCGCAAACAGTTCGTGGGCGATGGTGCGTGCGCACGCACCCCTGCCCACCATCACCACAGACACCTGACGTGTGTGCGGTGTGACAGATCCAAACAAGTTGCTACAGATGTTTTACTGTTGGTCGTGCGAAGACACCTACGAGCCCTTCTCCAAGGCGGTCCTGCTCCGCTTCGTGCCGCTGCCGCCGGCCGATCCCACCGCGGGCGCGCCCCGAGCCTTCTCTCCCTCGCCTCGCGCTCCGTCGCCCACTCCCTCGACGCCAACCCCGGTCTGTTCTCTCGTTCGCACACGCACACACCACCGCACACGCACACACACACACACACACGCGCGCGCGCGAGCTCACTTGTGCGCGCGCAGATAAAGATGCGGAGGTGAAGAAGAACCTGAGCCTGACGGGCCTCGACGAAAAGGTGGAGGACTCGCTGGCGCATGGGGCGCTGATGGCCGACGTCGCCGCCAACGAGGACCCCGCGGCGCAGCTGGCCAAGCGGCCGCACGATGACGTGGCGCGTAACACGGAGAACACCTGCTTCAACGGCCACTTCCCGTTCAAGCGGCTCGTAAGGTGGGTTCCGCGCGACGACTGGCCCGACGCCGACGAGCGCGAAGACGTCGTCGAGGAGCTCGGCCAAGAGGACGACGACGAGGAAGAATACGAAACCTACTACTCGTGCAAGCTGGGCGGCTGGGCGCCCTGGGTCCAGTGTACGTGTGCGGTGTGTGTGCGTGCGTGCGTGCGTTTGTGGTGAGTGCGTGTGTTGTTGCTCATGCGTGCGCGGCCGTGGGCAGCGGTGAGCTACGCGTCCTGTCCGACGTGCGAGGCGGAGATGAAGAACGTGGTGTTCAACATCAACGAGGACAACGCAATCCCGTTCGATTGGGGCGATGGCGGCACCGGCCAAATTCTGCAGTGTCCGACCCACCTCGACGCCCTCTGCTTCACCTGGGCCGTCTAACCCCTTCAACTCCCACCACGGCGGCGGAATGTCGATCGACACACACACACACACACACGGCCACATTACACAGCAACACAGACTTGGGAATTCAGAAAATTGTACACACACACTACACGATGGCTGTTCACTGGTCGCGGGCGAGCATGTGGCGCACGAAGGCGGTGTAGTCGACGTTGCCATCGCCCTGGATGCAGGCATTGCGGAGCATCTCCTCGACCTCCTGGTCGGTGAGCTTCTCGCCCATGTTGCACAGGATGCTCCGCAGCTCCATGACGGAGATGAACCCCTTGCCGTCCTTGTCGAACACCTGGAAGGCCTCGATGAGGTCGCGCTCGTTGTCGACCGAGGAGTAGTTCTTGGCCACCATGCCCAGGAAGCCGTTCACGTCCATCACTCCGCCGCCTGGCAGCAATAGAATATTTAATAAATAAATACAAATAAATTTGATTAGGAAGCGCTATTTATTGATTATGAAGTTAAATGTTTGTTTGTAAGAATAAATAAATAAAAATAAAAATAAAGAGGGGTGGCCAAGCCTACCTCCGTTTTCCTTGATCATGGTTTCCAGCTCGCCGTAGGTGGGGTTGTGGCCCATCTCGCGCATGATCTTGCCCAGCTCGAGCGCGTTCACACGCCCGTCTTTGTCCTTGTCAAACTTGGCGAAGGCCTGCTTGATCTCGTCCACCATCTCGTCATCCAATTTGTCGCCCTAACCACATTTCGCCCATAATTAGAACCAACAAAACAAACGTAACGAACAACCACGTGTCCTGCGCCGCAGAGAGTGAGTGAGGAGGGGTACCATCTTTGCTCCTTGTCCAGCGATCTCGCGCGTTGCTCACAAGTCTTCTTGTAGTTGTCCTGCACTCCCAAATTGCGGTCCCACAAATTGAAGAAGAAAACGATCGAGAAAACAAAAATAAACAGTTTTCGTTGGGTGCGCAAAAGGCTTTCGAAAGTGTTTCATTTTCGTTCCAGAAGCATTTGGTGTTGCTAAAACTGTTGGCCACCCGTGCCGGCAATAAATAAGGTGGTGGGCGGGCAGAGTGGTGATGATGATCTCCTATGGTACTTGGGGCGGACGAGGCGGCTAGCTGCTGGTGCTGGCGCGCCTCTGCTTGTTCTGCCGAGGCTGGAGAAACTGCTCGCGCTCTCGGATGATGCACTTCCCGACCCGCGACAGCGACTTGGGCATCTCCATGCTCAATATGTTGGTAATCCACGAAGGTATTCGGCCTGTGGTGTGAGTGTCGTGTGTGTGTTAAGTGAGTTTATACATGTATTATATACGTGTGTAGGGCGCGTTGACAGCTAGGTGTATGTGAGTGTAAGTAGAGGTCATTCTCGAAGGTGGGGCGTACCCTTGAAATCGATCTGCAAAATGTAGGCCACGTGGATACCGCCCTCGTCTCGCGGTGTAATTACATAGCCCGACGACAAAAGCTCGGCCCGCACGGTGCCTGCCCCCTCCCCCGAGCAATCATTAGCGTCCTGGCAGTGGTGCCACGCACGACGCAGCAAAGCAGAGAGAGAGGAGAGAGAAGAGAGAAGAGTACCGTTGATTTCGGGGCAGTTGTCGTCGGCGACGGATCGTGCGATGACGATCACGGTGCCATCCTCGTACTCTCGCGAGGACATCACCACGCACACATCTCGCGAATTCACTACAACCACCGTACACCAACCATGCACACAGGCGTGTCAATATAATAAGGGCACGCTTCAAGTGCGTTGTGTGCGTGTGCGTGTGCGTTGTGTGCGTGTGCGTGTGAACGACGAGGAGGGCGAGCATACGTGGCCAGGGAGCGGAGTAAGTAATATGTACAATGCCGGTGTGTCCAGGGGTGTCGGGTTCGAGATCCCGCACCCGCCGGCTGGCCGCCGCAAAAATGTCCCACTCCCGCCACCGATCTGTGTGAGCACACCCACCCGGCCAGGCGACCACGCGTGGTCAGTCAGAGCTCACAGCAGCGGACTCCTTCAATAGTGCGCGGTCGAGGCGAGGCAGAAAGAAGAAGAAGAGGCGAAAAAAACGAACCGGCCTGCAGGACGAGCTGTCGGAACTCCTGCGCGGAGCACTGGAGGTCGGCGTCGCCGCGCATGCAGTTGACCTGCGAGACGTGTCTGCCGGTCAGGAAGACGAAACTCGGAGACGGCGTGTACGCAAGAAGAAGCAGAAAGAAGAACGAGGGAAGAAGTTGCAGGCGCAGTGCTGCCGCCCAATTCGCCGCTGCTGGGCCGTTCATTCCCACCAACTCGCGTGTTTCGGGGAAGAAGGGAGAAGAAGAAGATGGGAGTACCGAGCCATTTTCGGCAAGAGTCTTTTTGCTGACCTTGACGCCCAGCTCCTCCTTGATGAGCTTCCACTCCTCGGTGAGGTCGACTTCGTCCAGCAGATCGTCGAAGGTCTCCTCGATGAGGGCTGCGTAGGCCTCACAGGGCGATGGCCCCACCCCGCCCTCAAGATGAGCCTGCTGATGGGTAGCCGCCCGCCCCGCACCAATTCGAAGACGCGACGCGGACGTAGCGCGATCGATCGACGTCGTTTCTGTTGGCAGGGCCGGTGCCGACCCCGAGCGCAGCATGCCCTTCTCCACCTTGCTCGGCTCGGCTCGCTGCGGCTGCTCCACGCCGAAGTAGCAACTTGTTCCTCTACGGTTGCCTTCTTTTGTGTCTCTATCCCCGCCTTTTCTCTTTCGCATTTTCTCTGCTTCTTTCCGCCTTTTCTTTTGATTTTAGGGTGACGTCACCCTAAGAAAGAAAGGCAACAAGCGAGAAGGAAGCCACAAAAAGATGAATGACCCTGGTGGTCTGGTGACCAGCACCACCCAAACGGTGCACCAATTCGTCACCCAAAACTATGTACGTTTCATTTCTCGACCTTTCTTGATGTCTTCAATGCTCATCATTAATTGATTGATGCACGCTGTTTGCACATCAGGCCTTCCTGTGGGTGGCTCTGTTCGTGGTGGTGGTACTGGTAATCGCCTGGCCACACGTGCGGCAGGCCCTCATCGACTACCGCAACCAAATTGTGTACCCGGCACCTCGCATCCCTGGTACGTTGCAACCCCCCCCCGCGTCTGTTCTACGTTGAATAAAGATGGGCTGCAGAAGATGGCGAGAAGCCACCAAGACCTGACGCACGTGTCTCGTCTGCACCCAACAGAGGCCGATAATGAAGAGGGGCTGCGTTTGGCCCGGTTGGCGCAGCAGGAGCGGTTGAAGGAGGCCTCCAAGGAGGCCAAAGAACAGGAGAAGCTCAAGCCCAAGAAGAAGCCCCAAAAGCTTCGCCCCAACAGTACGCGTCTATCTCCCGCCAAAGCGCGCCAAAGGAAGTGAACGTGTTCGTCTGACTGTGTACTTGCGTGTGTGCATGTGTGCGTGACTCTGTGCAGCGGACGACTATCCACTGTCGCCGTGGTCGAGCAGCAGCGGTGGCGGTGGCGGAGGTCGCAACGTTCGCTTCTTCAAGGCCCCGGCCTGCAACACCGGCGGATGAGGTTAAGCCCACAACCACCGCCCTCTCACCCTCCCCCAACGGCAGCTCTTCTCTCTCTTTTTTCGCTCTTTCTCTTTCTCTTTCTCTCTTCTTTCTACTCCCGAGCTGCCTTGGGGCGGGTGAGGAGGGGCTGCGCCGTCGCCGATCCTCTTCTTCAACCTGGAGAAGAGGGCAGGCGGCGTGGCCCCGTCTAGGTGGTTGTGAGCTCACAACACCACATCATCGTCCTCCTCACATCATTGATGTGCCGGCCAGCGCGCTCTCCTCGGGGCGTTGGTCGCGACATCAAGCGGCCGGCTGGACGATGCGGCGCGCATGAAGCCGTAGCTACAAACTTCCACGGAAGAGGGCCTCGGCTGACCCATTCGCTGCATCTCCACCGCCACCCACCAATCACACCACACAACGCTCCTTGTCCACCCGGTTCGTTAGGCCCAATAAACGAACCGACTTACAAACCAAGCAGCTTGTGAGTGATCACCAGCACAACCGACTTCTGGCGGAGCAGAGAGAGAATGACGGGCTGAGTAGAAACGTCAATAAATAAGAACTGGCGAGAGAGAGGTTTGGGGGAGTGGGGAGCCCGATTAATCATCGGCGCTTGGACAGCAGGGACTGCTTGGTCTGGGGCTTCTTCTTGAGGAAGACGACCAGCGCCAGCATGAAGAGCACCGCCACCACGAAGCTATTGTGCGTGTCCCGCCAGTGTCAGTCGTGCGAAGCAGTCAGATTGGGGCAAGACGTGGGGCAAGAACTCGTACACGAGGAAGTACTGGAGGAGGTCGCCAAAGAACGAGGAATGGGTCGGGGTGTGCTGCAGAATGCAACAAACGAGCTCGGCCTCGGCCGCCTGGATCTCGTCCCTCACGTACTGGGCAAAGGTCATCGCTGCGAGCCCCAGCGAGCTCGACACCTGTGGTTTGAATTGGCACGCGGCCGTAAGTTCATAATGCGGCATGAAGAGGCGTTGGAAGGCAGCAGTTGTTGTACTTCATAGGCTTCATTGAGCTTGTAGTCCCGCAGGAGCCCGCCGACGCGATGGAACATGCCCTCGAGCCTATTCATTTCGCCGTACAGCCGCTCGACTGTTGGCGTTGGCACACGACACGAAAAACGGTGAGCACTACCGAACACGGAGCCGAGTAGTGAATGGAGAGCGGACCGGTGGAAGCGGGCAGTTCCTGAAAGTGCAGGAACGTGGAGGTCCTCTCGCCCTCCGAGCTCTGCCATAGCTCGGGGCCATTGGAGCCGGGCTCAAGGTCCTGGTCACATACACACCAACCACACAGCCCAGCATGAGCCCCCTCCCCCCTCCAACGGTGCACATGCACCTGCGGTGAATCAAAAGTCTTGGGTAGGTGAGCGCACCGCCATCGAGCCGGTGAACTCGGTCGTCGAACCGACGGTTCTCCCCTGGAATTCGGTCATCGTTATGTTCTCGCCGAAGGGGTCGTACAGGTACCGCTGCAGCGACAGCACATACACATGCGATCAGCTCCGCGGGTCTCGCTCACGGCACGAAACGCAACAAGTCCTGACCGCCCTCTACAAGTCTTACCTTGGCGAACCGGTCGACGTCGGCGATGGACTTGTGGATCTTCTTGAGGGCCTGGTCCAAGCGCGACAGCACGGCATTCCTGGTCACCATGTCCACGAACACCCGCGAAATGCCCGTCGTCGTGGCGTACGGCCCGAACGGGTGATGTCTGCCCGTCCACCAGTCGCGCATTTTTGTTTTAGTTCACTGGTCAGCCAGTGGGATGAGTTGGGGGGGGGGCGTACCCGTTGGCCCACATGTGGGACTGCAAGACGCGCGAGTGAAGGGGGGAGTAGCGCTGGAGGGGCGTGTTGAGGGCACCCAGGGCAGTGGCGATGCCGGCGATGATGTACCGCGTGGGGTCGTTCGGGTGGACCAACACGGGCGAGTCCTGGGCAAAGTAGGGCACCGGCACCTCCGTCGAATTCGTTTGCAGCACAATCACGCCCTCGGCCGACCTGCATCGCAGAGAAAGAATCTCGCGATATCAGCAGTTGCTGTGTGCAGTGGAGTGCGGTGGTGTGGGGTACGCACGCAGTGTATAGAGAGCTGCGGTCGAGCAGAGAGTTCTGGAGGTGAGGAGAAAGCAGGAGGGAGAAAACGTAGACGGGCAGGATGCGGGTGCCCAGCGGACGCGACGCCTTCTGCGAATCCGAGGCCGAGGCCTGGGCCGCTGGCTGCGACCTATGTGTTAACCCCATCAAGCCCAGCGGTGCGTGGTGAGCGAACTACGAACCGCGCAGGGGGAGAGGTGCGGCGTACCGAGAGAAGAAGGCGGACAGATGAGCGCGCTCTTCGGCCGACTGAAGGAACCCGGAGGTGATGATGTCCTGCGCGTCCTTCATCTGCTGCAGCAGCGCGCGACCGTCGATGTAGGGCTTCTCCTTCGCCTGTTTACGCGTCGGGTAAGAAAGACACCATCATCACATCGGGTGAGCCAAGCCGTGCACGGGAGAGAATCCCATGAATTTGCATCGGTCAGTTGCAGACGTACGTCATAACGGCCCCACACGTTGAGCTCGTGGACGGTGTCGGTCTTGTGGGCCTTGGCGAGGGCGAGGGCGATGTGCTTGTGCTCGTGCAGGCCGTGCAGGTCGGTCACGATCGTCACCTCCTGGTTAGGCAGAGCCAGCTTGGCCACCTCCCTCCTGATGGCGTCGATGTCGATCGAATACGGGTGGCCCTTGCGCCACGGATTGAACTCGACGTGGTTCCGTAGCACGACGATCGGGACCAAGACCTAAGTGGTACGTGCACGTCGACCGGTGAAAGATGAGCATGAGCGGAATGCCAAACAGGCCTTACCCCCCCCCATCAAGCTTGCCCCAGAGGCGTACCTTGTCGGCTTGGACGGCAGGGAACCGGATGTCGGGCACAAAGACGTGCTGGATGGCCGAGATCACGGTCGTGGCGATGTGGGCTTCGATCTCGGCGAAATCGCTCACCTGCTCACCAGGCCAGGGCGCCGATGAGCCGCCACATGTGGTGGGGAGGAGGGGAGGAGGCTACAACCACGTGCCCGCGGGCGCGAGGATGATTGGAAGAGAGAGGTGGGGGGGTAATGTACGGTGTAGCGCTCGTAGAGTCTGTTTTGGCCCAGCGTCCTCAGTTTGTTGTGGAACTTCCCAAGGCGAGGCAAGGAGGCTGATCGACGAGGCGGTCAGTAGGCAAGCAAGCACGCAACGGAGTGCGAACGCACACTCCAGCGATTGATTGGTTGGTATGAAGGGGTAACGGGTACGTACCGGCCGTGACTGCTCCCTCGCCCACGTCCGAGGGTCCGTAGACCACCGGCCCAGCGCTCAGATCCACCACCGTGTAGCGGCCCTCGGACACCCACGCTGGAGAAGAAATAGATGAATAGATCAAGTGTGTCAGCCCATTGGTGACCTCTCATAAGTTGTTCGTCGTTGGGTGTTAGCCGCGAGGGTGCGGTAAAGCCCGTGTTGTGGTGTGTGTGTGTATGTGTGTGTGATCTGGCATGTCGTTGTGTGTGTGTGTCATTACCTTGGGTGGGGGCTCCGTCGTAGTTGTAGTGGTACTGCCACCGGGGCTCGACAGTGGTGCCCTCAGCACCCGTCCTCGCGTTTTCCAACGCGCGCTTACACGGATTGAGCAGAATGATGCTGTACTCGTCCTGATGTTCACCACCAGCCACCAGCCACCAGCCACCACCCAACCACCACCGTTTGAAAGTGCTGTGACACAATGTGGACACCAAGCAAAGCACAGAAGAACATAAACGAAAAAGTGTGCACTGCGTACCGCGACGGTGATGGAGTCAAAGTAGGACTGCCACGCTTGCAGTGCGCTCGGGGGAACCGCGTAGTCCGTCAGCGTCGCGCCTCTGTCCGGCTGGATCGTGTGCGACAGTGGGTGTGATGAGTAAAGCGCGCGACAAGTGAGTGTGTTGTGTGGTGAGTGTCGCAACGTACAGGCCCGAGCTTGCTGAGCTCCTCGCCGAGCATCTTGGTGAAGGTGCCTATGTTGTGCTGGTGGTGCACATCGTATCGCAGGGTGTACTCCACATTGAGCGGCCTTTCCTCCTCCACCAGCGACGGGCGGTAGGTGGGCAGTGCTGTCGCGAGCAGCGAGGCCAGCCGCGACTCTGGGAGCTTGTAGGTGAAGGCCCCGTCGCCGTTCAGCCCCACCAGCACCACGTTGATTCTGAGATCGACCGCTATCGGCTCCTGTGTGGGCGAGATGCCAGAGGATGAGTGTGCGGCCTGATTATTTTTTGCATTTGGTGTAAAGAAACTTCTAAGGGGCTGCTACCCTTGTGTAAAGGAAAGATGATCTGGAGGCCTCATCGGCAGTGGAAGTGGTGCAGGCAGCGAGCACAAGGCACGCAAGCACCGTCCAACTCGCGATGTATGGCCGCCGCATGCTGTTGGTGGCCCACCACATCATCTGATTGTTGTGGCTCTACACAAGAAAAAAAGAAAAAGAAATCTACTCCGCATAAATATATAAAAAATATCAAACCGTGGGGTACACTTTACATTGATGCAGATAGACGACATGCTGCTTCTCTCTTCCAACTTCCACTTCTTCCCTTGACGTAGTGCTGCCATGCAAGGAGCAGCAGAAGCGATCTTAGAAGTCCATCCAGGACTCGTCGTCGTCATCGTCCCAGCCGTCCTGGCCGGCGTCCTGCCCGTAGACCGAGTAGCACATGCCCTGCCTGCGGGACGAGAGCGCGTTCTGGATGGCGTCCACGATGTTGCCCTCCTGCTGTTCGGACATGTTGGTGAGATCGGGCGTCTTGAGCGCGTTGGCCTTGGCCTGCAGCAGCGCCGCCAGGTCGACTCCGCCGGCCGGTGGCGCCGGGGCGCCGGGCGCCGACGACGAGCCACCACCGTCGATCGGCGATCCATCCGCGTTTCGCAATCCGCTCTCCGTCACCTACGTCGTGGATCGACGTCAACCTCTAAAGTTTCAAACACGCACACGCACACACGCACAAACACACACACACACACAACACGAATCGACACACACACACACACACACGAGAAAGGAGCACGCACCGTTTCTTGGTTGCCGTACTCGGTGAAGGTGACCGCGTAGTACTTGACGCCGTCCTGATCGCTGATGGAGTCGACCACCGCCTGGTACCTGATGAAAGAGAGTGAGTGGATCGCTCAGGCCTGAGAGTGGGTCAGTGGCGGCAGGACGACGCACCAGTTGCCGTCTTCGCTCCACAGGGCCTGGCCCTTGAAGCCGGGCTCGATGTCGACGCGCGGAGGCAGAGGCGGGGGCACCAGG